GAAGCGATCAATATATTATACATCACTGTTGAAGTGATCCACAGGAATTACAGGCTTGGACAGTAATGCAAAGACGACCAAATACTGCTCACTTGGATTGTCGCACACCAACCAAGGACCAACATCATCCAACAACTCTTTTGATACTCCAACAGACTCGACTCATCAAGATGAAGCGATATATAGCACATTCATTGCCGTTCATCGTAATCTCCTATATCAACGGTGGATCATCAACATCAACAGCTATAGTCCAACAACAATTCAAGAAATCTACTAGTGCTTGGATCAAAGACATCCAGCACCTGCTGGAACACCAGATCCTACCAACTACTTACAAAGTTCACCTATTAATCATCATCAGACTCGACTCATCAAGATGAAGCTTCATTCATTGTTGGAGTAATCTACATCAATCTGGATCATCCTTAACGGCCATACCATAAATATTCTCTCCCATCTTATTGTCACGCCTACAAATACTTGGCAAGGTGTTTATTCAAAACTAGTATCATTTCAATCATACTTATAATAAATACATATACATACAACATACACAGCCTCCCTCCTCCAAGACTCACTCCATCCCCACCTCCACCAACAACATCTTGACATTTGTTGCACCTGCTGGTGACCCGACTGAAGATGCGTGACGAGATCCTACATTCCATTCTGGACACCTTCCTTCCAGTGCGGGACGCCCAAGCACCCACTACGAGGCCATCAAAGTGGAGACCCGGTGCCTATCAATACACATTCATCAACAATCACGTGATCATATATAATCACTTGGACGAGCTGGATTATCAATAAGGGAGAACAACCAAGTTTTGGACTCTACAGTATATATTTATAGATAAAGGATGTACCAAGAAGGGATCACACTGGTCACTCGATCGATCTTGGACCAGCACATGACGATATGTCGCATCCTCCATCGATTGCCCGTGCTGCCCAAGATCACAAGACTCTCGGCCAAAGAACAAGGTAGCAGAGCCACTCATACTCATGCTACACACTACCGCTTGGTGTTTCGACTTCTAAAATGTGCCAGTTATATTCCTCGTCTCCCTCGGCTACGCCGTCACTCAAATCAATTAACGTGGCCCGATATGCCAGGAAATGTCTATGTGTCTACTTGCTATCCACTAAGTCATCGACACACAGCACTGCTCAAGTCCATGATTAGGCTAAACACGGCTGCTGTGGGGCTCTATGGCCAAAATCAGTGTCAAGCTCAAGTAAAGGAGAAGGACGACGACATGGACGATGACTTTAACAACAACACATAGGATACTTGGTCAAGGACAAGGACTCTGAGAGTATGATGAGAGAAGGTTACATCTAGGACGACGAGGACTTTGACAAAATGAATCACTAATTCGAGGACTTTAAACAGATGCGTCAAGACCTTAAGAAGAAGTTAAAGATCGACAACTCACATCAGCTAGCTGTGGAAGAAGTAAGAGCAGCCCACAAACGACCTCACACAGGACCTAAACCAGTTACATCTTCTGTTCCTCTGGCCCATACTCATCACCATGATACAGTCGTCCGGACAAGAACCAAGCCTCAACAGAGCCAGCTAGGCATTATGAACTTTTGCCCTGGAGAGTGCAACCAAACGATACACTGCAACCTACCTCCCTTCTAGAAGCAACAATTGACTCAGCTTTCTGATCTCAAGAGGGCTTTATGATGGTACAGCAACAGAGACGGATATCAAGACGCCGATCATGCAGCTCTGGACTCTACACACCATCCTGAGCACTACACATTGGTCAACTTGGGCGACATTTTCGGTGTTACCACAATTCCTGCCTCAACTGCGATGCTCTCTCCAATCCATGGACGAGGAGAGGCGCCAGGCACCAGTGACCATTGGCTTCGTAGTCCCTGTGACTAGCCAACGAGCACGCTCGAGATCTAGTACAATCATTCCAGGATAACTTACTGGTCGGAACCAACTAGTCAAAGGTCAACCAATGCACAGTCACAAAGTATTTATGGGTGATTTTATTTGATCAAGCGAAAATAAATATCTAAAAACAAAAGATCTTATCTTATTATTCACTACCTCCAAAGTCAAAAACAATAACATTACATTCTTCTCTCTCAAAGTATATATAGATACATATAACAAAAAACCAATGAACAGAACAACTTTATTTATTCTAGTTCTGTTAGTTTGTCATTCTTGTGCACAAGACTTCCAGAACACCACCTACTATGCAAAGTTCAAGTCAGCCGAAGACAGTGGACCAATGTCCATCACAACTTATTTCTCACCTGACACAAGTATCCAAACCGAGACTGAATTAGTTTTGGTATGTATCACTACTACTTGATCAAGAGTATGTCAATTAACTTACACTAAAACAACAACAATATAACTAAGGATGCTCAATCAACCATTGACATTGGTATTCCAAGTTTCAGTTCATGGGCATATTGTTCTTCCACCTACAATGGCATCTATGGCTGTACTGTTGCTGACCAAAGAAGCACAGAGGTAACTAAAGTCTTTTCAACACTAATGGTGCGGCAACAACACAAGGAAATCTCTAACAAACCCACACATAAAGACATTCCCTATATGGGGAGCTTTGCTCAATGCCATCAACCGTGGTGTGACTGTTAGGATTTTAACCAACAACTACTACGGTCCAAATCAAACTTTGACCGATGGTTACATTGATCCAATCAGTTTCCTTGCTCTTGCTGGTGCCAAAGTCAAGTACTTCACCACTTTGACATTCCTCCATACAAAGTATATGAATATCGATGGCAAGACAACTTCAATCTCCTCTATCAACTACAGCCAAACATCATTCATGAAGAATCGTGAGGCTGGGTATGTGAATATAATAATATTCGGTGTTTGTTATTGCCAATTACTAACATCTCTCCTTTCAGTGTCATCGTCCAGGGCTCTCAACCCATCTCATCGTTCACCACCGAGGTGTTTGATTATGATTGGGATTTAGGTATTGATTGGCCCACTCTTTCCTATTCACAGAGCAACATGGCAATCATTACCAATAAGACACCCGTAAAGATTGTAGTGCCACCACCCAATAGCTTTCCAGGTAGCTATGTCACCAAGGCTACGACGACCTCTGGAAACGTTGATGCCGAGGTTTTCACCTCTCCAGACGATGCTTGGGACATTGTCACCTCTGATATTGCCAACTCCAAGTCGCTCAAGGTGTACATCTACCAGATCACCGACTCTGACTGGTGCGACCTGGTAGGTAACTACTCTGGTGAACTCACACTCCTCGTGTCCAACAAGATTTTCTCCTACACCGACTATAAGAGTGCCTTGGCTTGCTACACCCATCTGTCTCAACATGGTATCACCATCCGTAAGACGAACGCCAATATGTACACCTACTCCCACCAAAAGTATTGGATCCTTGATGACAACCGTGTCTACTTGTCCACCGGTAACTGGGGCAACACTGACTATCCCAATGGATCTCAAGTGTTCCCACCTGATACAACTGACCCATCCCAATGGAGAAAGACCAATCGTGACTTCACCATCAAGATGGTCAACAGTGATGTTGTGGCTATCTACAACACAGTCTTTGAGGAGGACTATACCAGGGGCTATAACTGGACACCATAATCTTAAAGGATTGGTAGTAGTCGACTGTAGGAGTAGTAATCGTTTATTATTAAATATCGAATGGCACCTCATTTGCCTCCCTGCATCATTGCCTCGTACCTGACGACCAAGGGTAACTTCAAAGTGCCAACATTGACCGTGGCGTTGAACAATCCAAACGTGTCCATGATACCGTCCACTTCGATGTTCTGTGGATCGACGACGATTCCCTTTCTCCTCTTTAGACTGTAGGCTATATTGTCATTTGTTATAGTGATTGCTGCTGTTCCATCAGTCTTTGGCTTTCTCATAACCAGCAGTGTGTTGTTCTTCTTTAACTTCTTCATTGCCATCTGCTGATGTTGATCTGTCCTCTTTGAACTATAGTCGATGTTCTAGTAGCATGATAAGTGATTAAATCTTTGTGTCAGATCATCGAACTACATCTTGCTGCTGCCCCTGCTGCTGTTTGTGTGTTGTTGACTAACACCTGCTATTGCTGTTACCTTTGTGTATTCTTCATATTGTTTCCTCGTCTCGTGAGTTGCTTGAACGGCCAAACCTTTCAAAAAGAAGAAGTTCCTAGCATATCCTTTTGATACAGTCAACTCCTCGCCTGTTTGACCAACACCTGCAACCTCTTGTGTGAGAATGATCGGCACTGACTTGCTGATTGACCTGTTGCTGATCAAAAGTGTGGCCCCGGGGCTATATAATGATGTGCATGTTGTCGTCAAACACCTTGAAGATGTTGATTTACTACAATTATTTCATAAGTGGTGAGCGTAAGTACTATGTATCATCATGCTTGAATCCATACTGATGTACCCTACCATAGATAAGATGATAACATTGTGTTGTATAAAGTGGTAATCGTGGAGAATGTCGAATGATCAACATTGCGTGCGATCATTCTTTCACAACCCGAGCCCAACATGAAAGAAACTCACTTGTTTTTTTTTTATGTATTTATTTATTAAGATATATGTATGAATATCCTTGAAGGTGGTTTATAGTAGCTGGTATTCTGTCTCAAAGTCAATGTCAGATGAATCGTCAGTCTCTACGTCCATGATGTTTCCTGATATCGAAGATTGTTGATGGTAATCTGGCGTTTTCTCGGCAATGTTGAATAGGGGAAATTCGCTCAAAGACACCAGCTAATGATAATAAACAAGGAGATGATGGTGTCAATAACTGGGACGTCCAAACATTTGTGTAGAAAGATTCAACTTACATTCTTTGATCTCTCTAGGAAGTCCAAAAAGTCTTCCTTGGTGCGACATATAAATGCTAACACTAAAGATGGGTCCACCTCTGATATGTTGGCCTTCTTGGGTATGTTACAAAAGAATGACTAAACATCATTCCAAATAATAGAATGTCACAGAGTATTAGAATGGCGTAGAGTAATGGAGCGTTATACAAATTGTGAAGATACATACATGCGGAGAGAACTGTTGGTCGTTCTCAATCGACTGCTGTACAGTGTGTGGGTCTAGGTAGAAGAGGTTGTCATCTTGTGCGGCAATAAAGTAGAGTGATGCTCTTGGTTTGCCTCCAACGATACCAAGTGATTGTGGAAAACGATAGATCTCCAACAGTGGTCGATAGTATAGTTGATTCAATGTGTCCACACCCAACTTTGTTGGGATTAGAATTAGTAGAGGTGTCCAAGTTTCATTATGCAGTGCCAGCTCCATCATTTTGTCTACATATAGTGATCCATCCTCTGATACAATCACTGAAAGATTACAATATTTGTTATTCCTATATACAAGTGTCCTAAAATGAGTTGACCGCCGTCACTTATTAGTCAATTGTTAACTCCAATTACTGGTCAGTAGTCTTACTTTATAGCGTGTGTGATTGTTGATGGGCCGAACCATTCACCAATGTTCTTTCCTTGTGCTCGACCACAGAGAGCAATGTTGTGAATGGAGAAAGGCGCAGTCGCTTTGTCCAGAAATAGCTTAATAACCTCGATGACTTGAGTTGGATATTCATCGTTTGTCTTCTTCCAGTCTATAATGGTGTCTGTGTCAAGATGATAGTTCTATTTGAAACTGTCCATTTGGTACTATACATACCATTACCAAGCTTGTTTTGAAGTAGTAGGTTGGAAAGAAGCATCTGGCCAGAACGAAGCATGCATCCCCAACCACAATCGTTCTCATAAATAGAGTCGCCAATACATTCGAAACCTTGTCGATAAGAGAACCAGAGTCGATTGGAGAAGTCACTTAAGAAATCTGAAATAAAGCTAGGTTGTCCTATTCTGTTATTATTGTTATTATTATTATTGTTGTTGTCGTTGTTATTATTGTTGTTGTTATTGTTGTTATTGTTATTGTTACTGGGACAGGTCAACTCGATTCCTTCAATACTGTCACTGAACCCATCCTTTGTATTTGACTGTGTACTATCCTGTTGTTGATCTGGTGGTTTATACTCTTTACCATACATCCATACCGTAGAGTCACTGAATTGAGGTAGGGTATCTATACAAACCATAAACAATGTCAGTACTTCAATGTTTACATTTAATCAACAACATCAACAAGGTCTGTTGAAGATGATACTTACTATTACCAACTCCTCTAAACATATAGAGACAGTTCATTAAACTTGATATAAAGGAAGATATTTTGGATGTGTATTATAATAATATATATATATATATTTGTAAGAAGTGATAGTGATAGTGTTGTTGTTTGAAACAAAGCAAGATTAACTTCTCACCTTTTGGGGGAACATACTGAGTGTTTTTTTGTGTTTATTTGATCAAATACACTTTGAAAAGTGAGGTGGAGCAAGGTTCAAGGACAAATTGGAGTTACGACTTTAGTGTCTGGTAGATGAAGCCTGTGGTGGAAATTGAATCACCAAGACCAACTGTCTTGGAGGGTGCTTTGCAAACGAGCACCGGCGCCAAGTGGAACTCAATACCCTCATCCTGCCAGGTGACCACTGGGAATGTCTCATCAATGTTAAACTTGAGTTTGGAGCCTGGTGTATACCTATAGTCCACCTCAAACTTGAGAGGGATTCGTAGCTCCACATCCTTGAAACCGCAAGCTTGATCGCTGGCCTCCAGTGATGATGCGGCAACCGACATCATGGAGCGCTCCTTGGGCCACATATCCTTCTTGACCGCTACGATATGGTAGGTAAGATAATGGAAATGCACTCGAGACAATGTCTTTTTGCCTCCATCAATGTCAATGTCCATAAGGTCTGACCTGTGGCCTCCGACATTGTTGAACAGGTGAATGATGGCATCGACTGCAGTGTTGATCGATGGTGAGCTAAAGTCTGCCAGTTTGTGTTGGCTACCTCCTGTGTTGATGTACAGGAAGCCAAGTTCTTGTTCGTTCAGACCGACACTGTCTACGTTTGGGATGATCTTTGAGGCAATGTCCTTGATGATGGGTACCGATGTCATTGATGCCAGTTCCAAATGTATAGGCATAGATGATGTAGAGTGCGGCGTCTCCTCCAAAACCTTGGCCATATCATCGATACGGTTGGCGTGTGCCACATCCAAGAGATGGAGACCCGAGAGTATAAGAAGATCTGTTCTTTCTGTACCACTACTGGCCTTTAGATGATGGTGGAGCACCTCTAATGTGGCCATATTGGCATTTGATTCATCACGTGACACAATGAAGCGATTGGCTCGTGGAGTGACGTGCTGACCCCATGACTCATTCCTTTGGTACTCCATAATCAAGTGAATCTCGTCCTGTGTGTCTCTGTTGTAGTCAATGACGTTGATCCTTTCATGCAGTAGCTGTTTAAGACGCTCTCCGACAACACCACTTAGGTAGACATTGCATCCCTCCTTTGCCAATCGATTGGCTATAATTCCTGCGTTTCCACCAGTGTGGAACTCCTTCCTCTTTAGACTCAGTGCAGCGTTCAGTATGACATCAAACAGTTTCTTGTCGTTGATAGTTCTCTCTGCAGCACTTCCAGTTTCTAGTTTGTGTGATGATGATAAAGATATCATGGTTAGAACATGGGGGGCAACATGTTGTAATAATAGTTATAGTAACATACTAAAGTAATAAGTAAAGGTGTTCTCAAAGTCATCGATTGAGTCGATAGAGTCGGCTGAAAGCGGTGATTCGCTGGTGATCACACCAAGCATCTGCATCAGCTCGATGGCATCAACCACAAGGTCCAAGTTTGTGTTGTAGCCAACTGCAATACGATGTGAGCATACTCCATTGTTCTTTGACCAATGTGATATCTTTTTGAGACCTCCTTGTATAGAGCTAACCTCCACTCGATTCGACTGCATGCCTGTGAAGTCAAAGTATTTAAACAACAATGGGTAGAAGAAAAGAGAGCTCAAAACAGCTACAATACCCAGCACTACATATCCTCCATTTGTTAATGTTGTTGTTGTTGTTGAAGTTGTTGGTTTTGATGTTGACGATGCTGCTGATGAACCACTTGATGAGGTAACCTGTTGCTGGCCTTTTTGGTGATGTTTTGATGTTGATGTCTCCTTTATCATGTTTGGACAAGTGAGTGAACTGACTACTAGTATCTGTTGAGTGATGTCGACAACTTCACTTAAGAGAGATGATAATGATTGAAGTAAAAGAGTTTGAAAAAAATTACATTAATTAATTATTATTTTGAGAGTAATTATCACTTTGTAGTTCAGAATAATAATGACTTCCAAACCAAAATTGACTAAAGTTGCTCACATTGACTAAACATTACTTGTTACAAATTGTTCACTAGATCTAGATGTAAAGAATAAATTAGTTGATTGGGTGAGTGGGTGGATGGTGAGTTTGATCACCTACCTTGTAATTATTATTATGAATAATGCCGAATCACTCGTTGAACTGAATAAAATAATACATTAGTCCTCTATCTCTATCTCTATCCCAATCTCTAATCTAATCTTTTTATCTAATAGTATAAAGCTATGAAGGATACAGAGGGACTCCTCTTCCTACTCCTTCTTCTTTCATCAATAGAGTTGAAATATGTATGTTATAATACCTTAATCCTGCTCAGAATCTAATACTAATAATAAGAATATAGGCTTTCAATTTAAATAGTAAGAACGAATATTCAATTGGAAGAGGAGATGAATCCTAACTTCAACCACAGCATGTAGAGATTCAAGTTATATTACCATACCACTAGGTACTAGTGGTGGGCTTGATGATAGTGATTTAAGCTCTTTCCTATTAACAAAGAAAGGTTCAAATCTATTTATTACATTTGATGCTGGAACCATTTGGACAGGTGTTTCAAAGTTCCTGGCAAACAAAAACTATGTAAGATCGTTCAATATAGTATTTCCTCAATGGGCCACTCAGGAGGATCAACAAATTGCCTGGTTTGTAAAGAACTACATCTTGGCCTATGTTATTGGACATCCACACTTGGATCATGTGGCTGGTTTGGTAGAGGCCAGTCCAGAAGATTATCTACCCAGTGGTGTGTTGAATATCCATCCCCCAATAGAGACAGGACTCTTGGCACTTCTCAAACACATCATAGATCCCATCCTACTGGACTCTAAACAAATATTGTCAAAAAAGACAATTGTAGGCTTACCAAACACAATCCAAGCAATCAAGGATAATCTATTCAATAACTTAATTTGGCCTAATCTTCCTGATGTAAGTATAAATAATAATTCCTGTATTAGATATCATATCCTAATAAACCATCCTTCCTTTTAGTTTGGACGTTATGATTACTATACAATGAAGGAAGGTCATTCGTATGATTTGATGGAGTTGGTGTTTCTCAACAACAGTGACAGAGAGAATCTTGGCAAGAACTTCCCAAACAATGTAGAGATCAAACCATTCCCTACTTGTCACAACGATATGATGTCAACCGCCTTCCTATTAACCGATAAAATTACTGGAGATCAAATTGTCTTCTTCTCTGACACTGGTATACCTAGTGAAAATGTAATTGGAATCACTTGTGATTATCTAAAGAGAATAAGAGTAAGTAAATCTATCAAACTACCAACTTTCAAAGACTAACCAAGTTTATGGACCTAATAGATCATCTGGCAAAGCATCCATATCAATAAGTTAAAGGCAATCTTTCTTGAATGCTCATATACCAACAGTCAACCTAGTACTCAACTATTTGGACACCTTAGGCCAAAGGATGTGATTCCTGTTCTAGCCGAACTAATTGATTATGGTATTCAGACAACACCCAAGACAATGAACCTCAGACATGTTAAACTGGTGGTGCAACATATCAAACCAATGGCCAACCAGAGTCCAACAACCAATTTCTCTGTTCGTCAATTGATATACAAGGAACTATCAGAAAGTAATAAGTTTTTGGGTATCCAAATAATAATACCTGAACAAGGAGAGCCTATTTGTCTTTGAAGACAAAGGAAATTCATCGATTTATAAATAATGTAAATAGTAGTCCACTGGCAGTGTTTGTTTATTCGTCATTTGACTGAGGTGATGGTGTATGTTGTATGTTCTTTGGATGTCTGTTACTGTTGCTGCCACTGCTGTTTGACCTGGCCTTCTTCTTGTTCTTTTTCAGGTCCTCACCAGTGGATAACTCGTGTTCAGAGTTGCCACTGGACTCGTTCTCGCTGCTCTCATAGTTAACAAAGCTGCTGCTACTGGTCTCTAGCCCCTGTTCAAACTCGCTTGTCTCGTCAGGTTGCCAATCGGAGCTCTGAGTTGCCAATGCTCTTGGTGGTGCTGCTGATTGAGTATGACGAGTGGCAGAGTCGGTGGATGTCGTTCGCTTGTGAGTCAAGTCTAGTGAGGATGCCGACTGTGGAATTGTCGATGACTTGATCTCAATGCCACCACCACCATTTGATGTGGTCGCTGCCAGGGGCGAGGGTGGCAATGGAAGTGATGAGAGATGCTCTGGCACTGGGACCAGTGGTATCACCTCATTTGACACTGGAGCAGAGTAGAGAACACGTTGGGCATACTCAGAGACATAGCTGTTGGCATCGAGGGATGCCTCGAAACGATTCTCGGCGAGTTTGTCCTGTATCTTCAAGAAGAGCTGAATGAGGTGGTTTCTCTTGTTCTGTGACAGGTTTCCAAATGCTTGATGTAGAGTAAAGTTCTGAATTAGCGTCGATGTGTAGGCATTGGCAAGGGTCTTGGCAAAGACCATGTGGTTCAGAGTGCGATTGATGTCAAACAACAGTGGCTGGGCAATGGATGTCCAACCAGATAGTCCGAATTGGTTGTTATCCAGGTTCATATAGTTGAGCGTGGTGTTGTTTCTGAGCAACTCGCCAATGATTGGTGCCATGGCATCGGTGAGGCCATTCTCTGAGAGGTCAATCTCACGCAACGACTTGTTATTGATCAAGGGGTCAACAAGATGGAACAATGACTTGCCCAATGGATAACGACCACCGCAGATGTTGAGCGTCCTGACCGTGGGGAAGTTGTTGACAAACTGTGCCAACAATTGGCAGAGCTGGTCACCCTCTGGTCCAATGACAAAGTAGTTGTTGCCAATGTTCAGCTCGTGCAGGTTGAATCGATCAATGTTCTTGATGGCATTGACCAACTCAATGATCGAGCGACAAGAGAGTTTGTTGCTGGAGATGTCCAGAGACTCTAGGTAGCGACAGCCACTGATTGATTTGGCAAGGATGGTAGCCTCGTTGGCACCGAGATTATTCTTTGACAGGTTGATCGAGAAGTTGGCGATTTTCCTGTTGCGGTTGAATGCTACAAACATGTCCTCCAACGACTGTGCATTCAGTGAACATCCGCTCATGTTCAGATCGGTGAGTGCAGCCACCGAGTCAAACACCTGGTCACCAAGAAGCTTGGAGGAGGTCCTATCGATTCGGTTGCCAGAGAGATCCAATCGTGGAACATCGAGCACACGTAAAGGTGGTCCCATGATGGTGAAGTTAAGTGCACAGTTGCTCAAGACCAAACACTGTAGGTTGTGATAGCCCTTGATCTTTGACATCCAACTGGCCATCATCTGGGAGCCAATGTCACCCATCTTGTTGTGCGATAGGTTGAGGTACTTTAGAGACAATGAGCTGCCAAAGTTCCTCTCAAACGATTCGAAAAGGATAGGAATTGTCCTGTTTTTGATTATCTAGCGTTAGATTCCAATAACATCAGTATTAATAATGAGTATTAAAACTTACTTTGGTTGCAGATCACATTTGGATAGGTCAAGACTAACCAATCCATGTTGGAGACTGGAGAAACAATTACAAAGAGTGGCCATCACAGGATAGGTAATGGTGTTCTTTGAAAAGTCAATGATTTGCACCTTGTTGGTTGGATTCTTTGCCAAACCATTGGCAAGAGGTTGGAATGACTGCTCAATTCTAAGGTTCGAAAGATTGAGCTTGGTGATCGATTGGTTGGTCTCTAGACACATTCCAAGTGCAGAGATGACTGTGATTATCTTTTGGTTAGTATGATGATCAAGTGTTTCTCATGTTGCTATATATATCAGATGATAACATACTGTTTGCGTGTGGCAAGCCTGATAGATCGATGGATTTGAAGTATGTGTTGTGTCGTAGCGAGGTGATCGCTGTGAACAAGTTGAAACTGATCTCGGACGTGGGATCATTTCCAGGACAGTGAGTAAAGTCCAACACATCTGATTCATTCTGTGCCAACGCCTCGATGTACCTGACATAGTCCAATGTACTGTTGGTCTTGTAAAAGAATGAGTGTGCAATGTATGTGTCAATGTATCCATGAGCTGGTGACATTACTGTGTGTGTTTGAGGAGAGAGATAAATGAAAGTGTAAATGGTTGACAGTTGATATCAATGTATATGACGTTATACTTACCAAGTGGACCCTCGAATGGCAACAATTTATCCTCTGGATAGTTGAGCTTGAACATGTTGGACGAAGGGAATCCAACAGTGATCTGTCGATAGCTGGTTCTGATTGCTCTGATCAGTTGTTGTAGTTTGTCGAGTGGTGCCTTGATGCTCATGCCCATTTGTTGCATCTGTTCGTTGACCTCGACCTGGTACTTGATGACGATGGTCTCATCATTATCGATATAGTTCAACTCTGTTATCGTATACAAATGAAAGTCCAACTCGATCTATAAGTGCGAGAATGGTCAGCATGTTGGACAACATTGTTTATATCCGAGATGACTTGATCACTTACAGATTTACCAAAAGCACCCTTCTTAAGTGAGAGCAATTTGTATTTGCCAACGACAATGAGTCTCTTGTTAAAGCCCGATGCAGCGGGCGTAGGTGTTTTGTTTGCTTCGACCCAAACATTGAATGTGTTGGCTTCGCCAAACACACCACCGACATTCCCTAGACACTCGTCAATGAACTCTGTGTTATAGAATATAGGCGTCAGTCTTTGGTAGAGATCTTGGGTACAATAGAAACATCCTCACATACTTGGGTCGATTTCCTCTGTAGACATATCTGTTTTTAATGTTGATATGGCTGCTGATACTAATTATTATTATTATTATTATTACTTGTGTTGTTGTTGATGCTCTTAAATGAAAAGATCGATCTGATCTGTTTCATGAATCAGTTCAAACACTTCGATTTTTTTTGATTTTTTTTGAAATATGAAAATCGGAATTTCGGAATTGAATAATCATCAAGATGAACAAAACGATGATTTTTTTTGATCATTAAACAAAGTCTTATTCTTTCAAACAAACATATAAGTATTTTAATATATATATAATGGCAATAACAGAGAAAGGAAAAAAGATCAAAGAGATAATCAAGATAAGCATTGGTGACAAAGCAGCTGATATCGATGATACTATTGTCGACTATATATGTGGAGTGTTTGAAGACGAGGCTGTCACCAATGACCATGATGAGCTTATTGAGATATTGACTCCATTCCTGGAGGATATAGCACCAGATGCCAATGTTCTCTGCAAGACATTGATCCATCAACTCACATCGGCAGGTGTTGTCAAGGTTGGTGGCAAGACATCGCTCACTCAGCTCACTCAGCCCGTATCCTTGTCAAGATTGGACGACCGTGTTGACGCCGCCGTCTCTTGGATGAAGCCGGAGGAGAGCATTTCGATTGTAAACCGTGACCAGCTAGAGGCCAACGAGCGTCGTTACAACGCACGTAAAGAGGCGCGTCTGGCCCGTGAAGAGCGCAAGAAGATGAGACAGAATGCCGCTTTGGCCGCTCTCCAACAGCTCAAGGATCAACAGACCCTTGTCATGTCAACTCTGCGTGGAAACAATCAGTCGCGCGATATTCACGTCGAGAACTTCTCCTTGAACTATGGCAAGATGGACTTGCTCATCAACTCTGATCTGCATCTCAACTTTGGCAGGAAGTATGGTCTGATAGGAAGAAACGGAACAGGAAAGACTACACTGCTCAGACATATTGCCTCACGAGAGCTCGACATCACCAACAACATGTCCATCTTGCACGTCGAGCAAGAGGTCAATGGCACAGATACCACCGTCCTCAACTGTGTGCTAGAGGCCGATATTGAGCGTGAACGTCTACTCAAGGAGGAGGCCCGTCTCAATGCTCTACCAGAGAGCGAAAGAAATACCCTCGCCACCAAGATAGCCGACATCTACGAGAAGTTGAACTTGATCGATGCCCATACCGCCGAGTCACGTGCCGCTTCCATTCTCGCTGGACTTGGATTCACCGATGAGATGCAATGCACGCCCACCAAGCAATTCTCTGGAGGTTGGAGAATGAGAATCTCCTTGGCTCGTGCACTCTTTATCCAACCGGATGTGCTGATGCTGGATGAGCCCACCAACCATTTGGATCTCTTTGCCTGTCTCTGGCTCGAGTCCTACCTCATCAGTTGGACCAGAACACTGGTGATTGTATCTCATCACCGTGAGTTCCTCAATTCTGTCTGCACGGACATCATCCATCTCAACAACAAGAAGCTCGACTACTACAAGGGCAACTACTCAGTCTTTGAGGGTACCCGTCACGACCGTCTTAAATCACAACAGCGCGCCTTTGATGCCCAGCAACAACAGCGTAAACACATTCAGGTCTTTATCGATCGTTTCAGATACAATGCCAAGCGTGCCAAGATGGCTCAAAGCAGRAATCAAGCAATTGGAGCGTATGGACTTGATATCAGAGGTTCTCGATGACCCAACAGTCTGTCTCCAGTTCCTAGAGGTCGACCCCATCTCACCGCCAATTCTTCAATTCCAGGACGTCTCCTTTGGTTACGAACCCGATAAGATGCTCTTTAAGAACTTGAACCTTGGTATCGATATGGACAGTCGTGTAGCTCTCGTCGGTGCCAATGGTGTTGGAAAGGTATGAAAAAAGTTTGATAATGATTCATCGTCCCAGTGATACACTTACCAACTGACTTGCTCAAACATACATATCTCACTCACAGACAACATTGCTCAAATTACTATGTGGTGAACTCACAGAGTCCAGTGGACTTGTCGTCCGCAATGGCAAGTTGAAGTTTGCACGATTCTCTCAACACTTTGTCGACCAGTTGGACCTCTCCAAGTCTCCATTGGACAACTTCCTCACGCTCTACCCAGGCACCAGTCCACAGACTGCACGATCACATATTGGCAAGTTTGGTCTGAGCGGCGACTTGGCACTGCGAACTGTCAACACTTTGTCTGGAGGTCAAAAGTCCCGTGTCGTCCTTTCCCAAATCGCCTACACCAAGCCTCACATCCTGTTGCTCGATGAGCCAAGCAATCATTTGGATATTGACACTGTCGATGCCCTCTGTCAAGCATTGAATGAGTTCCAAGGTGGAATACTCATGGTGAGTCACGATGAGCGTTTGATTTCGCTGGTATGTGATGAGATCTGGTACTTTGATGGTGAGGACAACGAAGCCAAGGAGGTCAAGGTATTCGATGGAGATTGGCAAGATTATAAGAAGCAAAGTAAGTATCTCTTCTTTCCCCTCTCTCTCTTTTACTGGATTATATATTTCTAACTCTTTTTGCATCAAACAAACAAACCAGTCTGGAACCTGTAGACCATCATCAGTTGCACGATAAATCGATCATTCGCTTGGTCCACCAATCTTGGAGATGATTGAGTGAATAGATCGTTGGTGACATAATAAATCCAATGATTTCTTATTCGGCTTTATTATTACGATTGTCCAACAAAGTTACAAGTATTAGTCAACCAATTTATTATAACTTATCTATATCCCAGTAAATGACACTATCCAAAGGGAATAAAGATTCACAGGTTGTCGATGATGATGGCACTGAATTGTTGTTGCTAGCACACAAACGAACCATCATTGACTTGTCAAGTTTGTGTGTTTGCTCACCTCCGAGAACACTGGTAATGAGCAATGGTGAGGGATACTGTACATACTTGATTGATTGATTGTTGAGCAAACATGTTTGGTATTGACGTATCGTCAATTTTATCAATGTCTTGATGCAGGTGTTCTGTTGAGTCTTGTTATGGATCGATCCTAAATCCTTCACTGCCATAGTATCACTGTTCTCACCATACAATGATGTAATGATATGACCAACAATTGTGTTCGTACTTGAATCCTTTGCCACCCATCCAATTGTACCCTTTGAATGTGGCTCAACATTGTGGATGATCCATTCCTTCCAATACTGGATGGACCTAACGATGCTACCTTGCTGTTGGTCGATTGGTTTTTGTTCCACCAATATCTGGAAGTATGACTCCAGAGTAGTACTGTCGATAGTATCCATTCTTTCTAGTAAGAGACTGTGGCCATCACTCTCTGGTACTATTTTTTCGTTGACATCCTCAACAGTGATATCCCTGTGAACGTAGCTCCAGCCCTTTGAGTGATACATTGCCGAGTACTTATTGCTGAACAAGAAAGATAACATATATCCATTGTTGGTGAGATATTGATGAGCCATTTCCAATAACTTGGACGATAGACCTTGACCCCTATGCTCTGGCTTGGTGCTGACCTCTCCAATACCTGCAACTTTACATTTATCACCATTGATGAACATCTCACGTGTAAAGAGTTTGACTGTGGACACGATCTTCTTTGTGGACAGGTCGGTAGCTATGAATATCACTTATCATGTGTATGTATTTATGAGTGTTAGCGTTGACTAGATATGTATGTCTCTCCTCCAACGAATGCATTGGTATACACCATCAGATTACCATTTTGTTGACGGCTAGGGTCATTCTCGTGATGCTGAACAAAGTATTCCTTTGGAGTTTGGGTGAACACCTCATCCAAGTGTTGATACCATTGTTCGATCAGATCCTTTTGTTGTTGTTGTGTATAGTTCAATGTAAGATATTCATACATATCTCTCTCATTATTAATTGTCAAACACTTCCAATACATGTTCATTGTCTTCACTTTGACAACAATTCAAAAAGAGAGAATCGAGGAAGTTGGGAACAGTGTCAAATAATACGGAGTTCAGATAAAGACTAAATTACCAAAAAAAGGAATCAGAAGGTGAACAAGATTCTCTTCACCTTGGTCAAGTTCATTACCATTCAAACAACAACTTCATACATATAATAATATATATTTATAATATATATGAGCAACATTATAAGAAACATGATCAAAGTAGGAGAACAACTACCACTTAACATCACACTCTGGAAGACCTCCAAGCCATTGGATGATGGCACATGTCCAATCGCCCAGAAGGTTGTCTCAAAGGACCTCTTTGAGAACAAAAAGGTTGTCTTGTTTGCTGTGCCAGGTGCATGTACGTACCACATATTTATATATAATGGTTAACCACCAGATTACTAACTAACTAACTATCTAATCAATAATATTACTTAGTCACTCCAGTAAAGTATCAAAGTGATCGACGAGAGGGATTCTTTTGATAAATAGATCACTTAACTAATACCTACAATCACTGTAGACATGCTCTGGAAAGCATTTGCCTGGCTTCCTAGCCAACTATGACCAAATCAAGTCCAAGGGCATTGACAATATCATCTGCATTGCCACCAATGACTCTTTCGTCATGACCTACTGGGGCAAGGACCAAAAGGTTGGCGACAAGATCCAGTTGGTCTCTGATGGAAACTCAGAGTTCACAAAGAAGATCGGTTTGGACTTTGATGGCTCAGCACATGGAATGGGTGTCGGAAGATCTCTTCGTTATGCCATGATCGTAGACAATGCCGTTGTCAAGTATCTGGGCGTTGAGAAGCCTGGACAGCTTGAGGTGTCCACTGCTGAGGCCATCCTCGCCAACCTCTAGGGATACAGTCGTAACTTGGGCATCAGTCCTCCTCTCTCCTTCTTGCCCAATTAAAGTATGTTGAACATTCACATTGTTGTCAAATACTTTTATAAGTAATAAATCAATCAATCAATCATTACACCAAGCAAGGTTCATTCATCCAAAGATGATTGGGGGAGAAGTGGGTGGATGTCAATCAATCAATCTCTAATCACCTGATGAGGTATAACTAACTGACTGTTGTTCAAAGGGCACCAATAAAAAACCACACCCGATCATACACAAACACACACACACACACACACACACACACACTAATACATACAACATTCACACACATTTGATGACACTGATCAGTGATTCAGTGGCAGTATGTCAACTGATAAACAACTTGTCACATGATTAACCGTCATTAAACATGTTTTGGACTCTCTTCATCTCCCAGCAGATGGATACCTAGCTGGTTGGATGATGATGATGATGATGTTGTATAGAGGTGCCTCTACAGTTGTTGAGGACTCATCCTACTTGTTAAATGCCTCCCTTTGCCAAAGGAGCAGTAGCACTAGATCACTTTCCAATCAATCAATCAATCAATCAATCAATCAATCAATCAGTCTCGATCAGCAGCTTATCCAAACAACAACTATTGCAGTCACTTGCAACAATAACTAACATCAATAATTAGATAACAACAATCAGATCACTTCAACAACATCCATCACATAAATAATAATATGTTTCTTTATTGTGAAGGATACCGCGTGGAGGGTGCCACAGACAGCAACCCTCTCTGGCAATCCACCAGAATGCCATTCGAAGGACCAAGAGTATCCAACCAACCCTCGGTGTTTCGACAACATTTCTATGGCAACGATTACAACACATTTGTCAGTTACTACTCACCTCTTGGTCCCGTGGCGATGACCATCAGATTGGATGGAGAGATCTACAAATGCCTTGTCTACACTGAGAAGGGCTATGAACTGGTGGAAATTCCAAAGTGGAGTGTCTACAGGAACTGCTGGCGATTCATCTTCAATCTTGACCCGACCTCCTACCATGTGATGTGTCATATCAAGCCAGAGCTCAAGAACTTCAAGTTGCCCAAGTTAAAGTTACCAAACATTGAAGATGAACTTCTCAAGATCTATGAACCAGACGTATGTTAACTATTCAACAATCTATATCCACGCTAACTTATCAACCTGCAATTGAACTATAGTTTTCCAAAGTAATGAAGGTTGGAATACTCTACTGCAAGGAAGGACAGAATAATGAAGCCGACATGTTGTTCAATTGTAAGAATATGTCGACTAAATATACACAATGCTTCATAAATTAACAATCATCAAATCCAATCAAATTAGTGTCCCAAAATGCCAGTGCAGAGTACAATGAGTTCCTAAACTTACTAGGTGAGAAGATTCCATTGGTTGGTTTCTCTGGATACAATGGTGGTTTGGATACAGTTCGTAAGTAACATTTATAAACTTGGATAGTATAACCATACTAAAATTAGAAATATAAATTTAGATGGCAACTCTGGAAGTCATTCTGTGTACACCAAACACAATGATGTTGAGATCATGTTCCACGTATCTACCATGCTACCCTTCTATCCAAACGATCCAAAGCAGATTGAGAGAAAGAAACATCTTGGTAATGATAGGATGATGATCGTATTCAGTGACTCGGGCAAGTATGCCCCCAATTGTATGAAGTCAAAGCAGACCCGTATGTATCCATTAAATATATATAAATTAAAGCGATTCTTTGACAACACTAACAATTATCATCCTCACCATTTATAGAAACTGTGATCCTAGTCCAACCCTATAGAGGTGATCCAACTTCACCTACCTCTATTGCCATGGGCAAAACTGTTTCGCCCACTTGCACTTCACCTGATGAGAGGATACCATTGACATCAGCAGCAGTCGATCAGAATGAGTATGCCAACAAACATCATGGCACTACTCAGTACATGGTCTCTATTGCATCCAAAGAGGAGGTGCCACTCTTTGATCCTCCTTTAMCCAAACCCTCCTATATTCAACAGGGATGCCAGGTTCAGACAGTTCCTCCTTGACAAACGTATGTGCTATTAGATTGTAATCAAATCACCAAACCATACTAACACCTTCTATTCAACTAAACACAGTGATCAATGGAGCAAGCTCCCTCCGTCAAGCGCCAGTGTTCCAAACCAAGACACAGAGAGAGAGGACATTTGTCTTTTTGAACTTTGTAAACAAGAACACAAAGAATCCAACGTGATCAAATATATTCAACCAACAATTGTAGTAATAACATCCCTTTTATCTTTCATTAAATAAACTCTCTCTAATCGGTATGAATTCTTTATTACAATACATTCCACAGCTTAATCGATCGATCAGCTGAACCAGACAATATTACATCGCGTGTAGAGACCAAACAGTTGACCGATGACTCGTGTCCAATGAGATGATGACTGTTGTTGTTCAGTTGTGGGTCCCAACCTTTTATAGTTGAGTCCCTACAACCAGAGAAGATGAGTCCGCTGTGTGATGCCAGTGATGTGACCCAGTCTTGATGTTGTGTGGTCACTCCAAGTTTGTTCTGTTGATAGTTTGGTGTTGCAACGTTGGCTGCTGTCAGTGCCACTGGTGGTTCCCATCTCTTGATGGTCCTGTCCCTACTGCCCGAGTAAATGATATCCTCATTCGTAGCGCTGGTACAAAGTGCATTGACTCCGTCCAGATGATTGGGTTGAAGCTTCTGAACCACCTCTAGACTGTCTTTGTTGTAGAGAGTGACGGTGTGATCGCGACTACCAGTGACCAAGTACCTGGATGTGTATGACAGGGAAAGAATCGAGCCAGACTGGTTCTTTGACAATGGTGTCTTTAGGGAACGAAGAGAGCGAACATCCCAGACCTTGACTGTGCTGTTCTCCAATCCACCAAATACAAAGTTACCATAGGAGGCCATGCAGAGAAGCTCATTCTGGACCTTGATCTGTTGTACTGCTCCATTGTTACCTGATCGTATGTCCCACACCTTGACAAAGCGGTCTGATCCACCACCAGAGAAGAGCAGGCCAGACGTTGTATGCAATGCCAGTGCTTTGATTGCTGCCGTGTGTCCAGTGAGATCAGAGACACAATCACCAGACACTAGGTCCCACGCCTTGACAACCTTGTCTTGTCCCGAACTGAACAGCCTGTTAGACTGCTCATCGTAGACGAGTCCAAGCACTGCACCATCGTGTCCAGTGAAACTCCAGTTGGCTCTGATAAAGTTGTCGTTGCCATCACCCAGGTCTTGGCGTCGGGTGGAGAGTATTGCCGTGCGGTACGTGTCACCCTTGAGCTTGTCACGGTAGAGTCTGAGACGTGAGTCTGGTCTTGGTGCAGAGAGACGTGAGAAGACATCACCATCGCTCTGAGGGGATTGTGGTGATAAGCTCTCTCCAGAGGTGGTCATTGACGGCTGCTTCCTTGACTTTGGTGAGCTGGTCAACTTCTTGGGATCCATATCGACATCCAGTAAACTATTGTCAAACTCTGAATGGTCAATCATCGTCGAGACTGGTGATGGAGAAAAGCCACTGTTGATGGACTGATCAGTTGGATCGGGTTGTGTGCTACTCGTAGCAGAGTTCTTGTTCTTTCTCATCTTCTGTCTGTTCTTTGATCGCTCCTTTGATTGTTTAAGATCATCTAGAATCTGATTGACTTTGGATTCGACAGATGGTGCTGATATTGATATGGTTGGTGAATGTTGTTGCTCAGCAGTAATAGTTGGTGATTGTTGCTGTTGCGCCAATGATATAGGAGGTGGTGATGTTTGAAGTGTTGATTGATCGTCGCCCAGTGGTTTAAAGTTAAGTGATGACTGTCTGATTTGCTGTTGGAGTAGCTCAATCTCTTGGAGAAAGTCTTTGGTCGCTGATGATGTGCCAGTAGAAACTGGAGGTGAAGAGAATGGTGAGCCTGTGTTGTAGGATGAGGATGAGGATGAGGAGGAGGGATGAATGTTGTTGACTTTTGCTGATGGTATCGGTGATTGTTTAGTCGAAGTAGTTGTGGTTGTCGTGGTAGTTGTTGTTGATGTTGTCTGTTTCTGTTGTTGTTGATGGTCTTTGAGTTTAGATCCGATTGTAACATGATTGGTATCCTTGAGAGATTCAATCACTGGTGAAGATGTAGATGATGTCTGCTTGTGTGCGTCATGAAGTGTAAAGATAGGATCGGATCGTGCTTGTTTGATACCCTCTTGAAGAGATGACGAGGTAGTACGCTGATCGAATTGATCTCTCTTGGCTCTCGTTTGCTCTGCATACTCAACGCATAGCTCAAATGACGCCTGGATCAGGTGTGGAAGCTTCTCATAGGGTGTGGTAGAAACCTTCCTCATGATCTCTGTCGAGTCCATGTAGTCGATGGAGAATGATGCCAGATCCTTCTGAACTCTTGAGATCTTTTCATTCTGTTGCTTGATATTCATCTCGAGGAATGCAGACTGCTCTTGATACTCTGACTTGGTCATCTTGTTACCTCCATTGCCATACTGCTGCTTCAGACGAGTGGACTCTCGAACAAACAAATCCTTCTCTGACAAGTAGCGATCCAATGTCTCTGTCATCTCGTTCTTGCTGAGATTCTTTCCAATCTGTAATAGTAGCCACTCTCTCCAATTTGGTACACTGAACTGTGATGGATGTTGGTGGGTTGTGGTGGACGTTGCTGCTGCTGTTGGTGCTGCTGCTTGTACTGCCTTTGGTCTGAACCCGCTATTGTTTGATGAGCCATTGGCAACTATTTGCCGTCCACCACGCACTGGAGCGGCAACAGAGTTTGTCTTTAGCTTGTTAAACTCAATCTCCTTTAGTTTCTTCTTGATCGCCTCTGACTCATCAATCTTCTTCTGGAGTAGCTGATCCTTCTTCTTTGATTGATTCTTGAGCTGGCCAATGAGTTGCTCACTCTTCCTAGCCTCCTTCTTGAGTGCCTCCATCTCCTTTGCCTGGTTCTGCTTGACGTCATCTCGCTTCTTCAACTCGTCCCTCATGCGTTTCAACATATCTGACTTTTGTCGCTTCATGTCCTTGATCTCTGAAGTCAGGTCATCAATCTTCTCATCACTCTTTGTCTTGAGCTCCATCAATCTCTGGTGGTCCTTCTTTGACTTTGTGTGTTGATCCAACTGATGCTTCAACTCGGCCAGCTTCTTCTCGTAGTGCGCTGTTAGTCTGGCCTTCTCATCGTCGTAGGTGGTGCCAGTTGCTGCTGCGGCAGTGCCGTCTTTTTGTTTGTCCTTCTGACGCTCCTCCAACGTACGCATTACATTGTCGTGCTCCTCCTTCATCTCAAACAGCTGCACCTCGAGCTCCTTGAGGCGACTGTCGTACATCTCCTTGATCTGATGGTACTGCGCCTGTGTCTTGGAGTAACGCTCCAACTCCTCCTCCTTCTCTACGATGTGTTGGTTCATCAAGGAGAGCCTCTCATTCTCATCAATCAGCTCGGTGACATTCTCTATTGACTCGATCTCCTCGTCAGATGTATCTCCTCCAGAAGCACTAGCAACAACTGATCCACCATCGGTCGTAGTATCGGTGGAAGCTGTCGACTCTATTGTTGGATTCAATATGCTCTGGAACTGGTTGAACATGTCAAGATAGTCGTTTGACTCTCGGTTCGGTGAGAAGTTGTTGATAAAGTTGTAGGATGTGTCCTCGAGTTGCTTGTACTTGACGAGCAGCACCTTGTACTTGGAGGTGACCTTGTTCGATATCTCCTGAAGCATATTGTTCTCAAACTCTAGCTGTGATATCTTCATACTGTCCTCAAACTGTTGGTTCTGTGAGATCTTGCTGGGTGTCAATGGTGGTTCCTTCCCATCGGTAGACAACTTGGCAAGTGGTTGTTGATGTTGTTGAGGTTGTTGTTGTTGCTGCTGTTGATGATGTTGTAATGTTTTGTTTGGTGCCATTGGAGATGACAGGTCCACTACAACATCCTGTAGAATAATATCAAGGTCTGACTCTTTGTAGTTGCACTTGCTGATGAGTACATCCTTCAACAGCTGAATCTGTCCTTTGTACATGTTGATCTGCTTGGTCAGAGGATCCACATTGACCACTGGCTTGTTCATAATGTTCCTTGCTCTATATGCATATTTTAAAGTCTATTGATTGTAACAACAATAAGTACCCAAGGAAGGAATAAGGACCGTCATGAATGTCTGTATACATACATTGAGTGTCTCTTCAAAATTAGAGTCAGCAGGACTGACACATGCAATCATTAGGGTACGAGAGTTGCCACCCAATGAAGACTGTAGCATACGAGTCAACTTTGAATCACGGTACGGTACGTGTTTGGCTTTGTTGGCACGTCTAGTGTCGCCTAGAGCAGAGATCACATTGCCCAGTGCCAACAGGCCACTGTTAATGTTAATGCCCTCCTTCAGTCGCTGTCCCTCTGCCTTTGTCTTCTTGATACGCTCAGAACCTGCCAAGTCGACAAAGTGGAACTTGGACCTGATGGTTGGGTTGCGCTCCTCACTGATGTTGTTCTCCTCGTTGTCTGCATCCACGATGGTCTGCTCGGCAATGATCGTGAAGATCGCATGTGAACGTGATGAATGTACATTCATGAGAGTGGATCCAGTTGTCCTGGACATTGAGCCACGTATCAGGGCATCCTCCATCTGTGAACGACTGCGAACCACCTCCTCAAAGAGGCCTGGTATGTGAACCTCTCCATTGGGTGTCTCTCTAATGGCAAGTCCACCAGGCTCAGCATCAGGATTCAGCATGTCTCTAATCTCCTCGTTGTATAGCTCCAGAAAAGAGACCTTCAATACGATTGAATGTGTTGACTTTAACTTCTCCACTCGATCAAACACTGCGCCAATCACTCTTGGTATCACTCCCAACTCATCGGGGGCGACGCCAACTGTTGATGTACTACCCATTGTATATGTTTTACCTATAGGTATATCATGATAGGATATTTATGAGGGTCAATATATTGATTGTGATTACGATATTGCTTCAACATACCTGAACCAGTTTGTCCATAGGCCAAGATGGTAGAGTTATAACCTTGGAATATAGAGTCGACCAAGGGAACGACACACTCGTCATAGACCTGCACTTGTCTGGATCGTCCACCAAACACAGAGTCAAAGGTGAAGGTCTGGTCCTTGCCGACAATGACTTGAGGCACACGATCAACGTACTTGATCACCTCTTCGGAGCGTTCTGTTAACTCTTTGCTACTGAGTGGACGTACTCTCAGTGCCACTCTGACACTGCAGTTGTCCATGTCCAAGTTGCCACTACTACTAGTAATAGCATTCATTGAAATGTCATTGTTGTTATTGATGTTGTTACTACTGGTGTTGTTGATGATGTTGTTGTTGTTGTTGTTGATTATATTTGATCCACCTGTTGCAGCTGACGATATAGTTGCCAATGTTGGTGGCAACGAGGAATCATCAGCCATCATGATGTCTGTCACTACTGCTGCCTGATCGATCGATTACAGCTGCATAAGAATATGTTATATATGTATATATCTTTGATGTGATTTCAGTGTTGGAGTAGCTGGGTTAGTGATTTAAAGTTGGGTGGACGGAAAAAAAGGCGGCCAAAATAAATAAACGATTGTGTTTTTGCAAATCGATATCATCATCATTTTATTCAATCAGATAAACAAACATATATACACACAATAGATAGAAGAAAATCCACTGGTGAACACCTGACAATGAAGACAAGAATTAATAACTATTCTTTGTGTTTGAAATAAACAAATATGTTATCCTTGGACTGGAGAAAGAGCCAAATGTCCCAAACTTGAAATTTGGCTTCAAGTTTATCTCTCTTTTTGAGACAGTTATATTCATTCATTCATCTATCTCAACTTGATTGACTTCTACAACTTTACTCTGTTAATACTAATACTGAAAACAACACCAAAGTGCTCCCAACTGACACCATCGACCCAAATTGAATTGACTAGTTCAAGTTGCCTGATTGGTCGACAATTTTCAAATAATATAGTTATTTTATTATTGGGTCCAAGACCAGTTGATCCACTCTGACAGTGTCTGTCTCATCAATAATCAATCACCCAAGATCAAATCATTAATCACTTTAAAAAGATAGAAAGATATATATATATAAATATTTATAACAACATGTCTGCTACTACCAAGAACTACCAAGGTGGAAAGGTCCACGGCCAAATTCTAAAGAGCCAAGAAGCTTCTTTGGACTCTATTGCTGCTGAGTTTGCTTCTGTATGTGTACATTCATCACTCCATTCATTGATCATCCCACATAATACTAATAATATACATCATTACACATATTACTTAGGAGCTGGATGAAGCCACAATTGAGAAATACAAGGCAAAGTTCATGTTGTACGACATCAACAACAGTGGTGACATTGACCAGTATGAGCTTCAGCTGATGATGGAGAAGATCGGTCAAACAAAGACCCATTTGGAACTCAAGAAGATGATTGCAGAGGTGGACAGCACTGGCAAGGGTACCATTAACTTTAGAGATTTCTTGGTCATGATGACCGGCAAGAAGAGCTCCATTCTCCAAAAGATTCTGATGTTTGAGGAGCTTGCCAAGAAGCCAGAGACTCCAAAGGGTCCACCTCCAAAGAAGTCAATCTCTGACTTCCTCTAGGAACCTGTTGTATAACCTTGTTGGAGGACAATAAAATGATGCAATATTGATGTTGTTGTCCATCCTGCCCATGTAACACGTTTTGTAAAGTAGTTTAGTAGACTTTATTACACTAGTAGTTATGGTGTTTGTCATCCAGTCTATTTCTTTCCAGACTTCTTAATTCCACCACCGACCATTGGACCTCCAGCCTTGGCCTTTGCCTGCAGCTCCTTCAGAGCCTTTGCTTCCTCCTGTTGCTTCTTCTGGAAGGCCAAATCCTCCTCGTCGTACTCCTTAGCATCCTTCTTTGGGGCCTTCAAAGGCTTCTTCTTTCCACCTATAATATGATTATTATTATTATTATTATGTTTATGTTGATTATTATTATTATTATTATTATGATGAGGTGTTGGATTGATTGTAAACAATGTTATCAATATGTTTAGATTGACCATTGTGATTGATGTTTGTTGACCAAAGAATAAGTGTTTATATATATTAAGAGGTTTGATTGGTATGGACGTGTGCTTTTGGTTAGAATTTGTCATCTATATTGAGCAGCAGCAGCAGCAGCTGTAGTGCCATAATCGATCATCTTGTTGTTGTTGCCATGATGGCACATCATCACCATCCTCATCATCAACATCTTATCAATCAACCAAATCAAATCAATCAAATCAATCAAACATACCATCCTTTCCTGTCATTATTATATATCTGTGGCTTCTGAAGATTAAAGTGACAAAGTGCGGTAGTTGATAAATGTTAGTTGGTTGTCGCACCTTCTCATCATGTCCACTAATAACAGAATGAATGAATAGGAATCTGTTGTTGTTGTTGTGTGGGTGAGACAAACACACACATACACAAACACATCAATCATTCAACATTATTTTTCTGTGTGGACTCGCACGATGAGTACTTACAAAGTGATTCAAACGAATCGATTTATCTGTATGTTTATGTGTTGTTATGTGGTTTGGGGAATAATAAATGGCAACCAAAACCGAAACAAGGGAGACAAGGTGAAAAAAACCTTTGAAAATGACAAAGGGTTGCCTTTCAAAGCTGCTGAACCTCAAAAAACAAACTTCATTTCATTCATTTAACAAATAAACAACAATAATAATAACAATGTCAGCTTCAGTATTGTCAAAGGTTATCGATCTCTTAAAGTCAAGAAGCATCGTACCAGATGTTATCAAGGTTCTTAACCCAAGTATGTCTGTCATTTTCAACAACAACAACAACGTTTGGAGTTTGTATGTTTCTAACCTCATCCTTACTATATAATATAGTTCGTGAGTTGAATGTTACATATGCTGCTCCACTCCAGACTGGTGAGAAGCTTACTCCATCAAAGGTAATAATACATGATTCAATCATTGACATATTAATGGACCATGTTCACACATACTAACTATCCAATCAGGTGGTCAACACGCCAACAGTCACGTATGATGCAGACTCATCCAACTTTTACACATTGGTAATGTTCGATCCAGACGTACCAAGTCGTCAGGACCCAAAGTGGGGCCAGTGGTTGCACTGGGTGGTCACAAACATTCCAGGCAACAAGGTCACCGAGGGAGAGGTGATGGCCGACTACATTGGCAGTGGTCCACCCGAGAAGACCTCATATCATCGCTACATCTTTGTTCTCTGCAAGCAGCCCTCAAAGATGGTGTTCAAGGGAGAGTACAAACTACCATTCACGTAAGTAGTTGGTTGTAGGAAGTAGTTTGTTTGGTTGGACAAGTACTAACTGATCAGTTAATACAGTGCCGATAAGAGAAATAACTGGAGCTTCGATACATTTGCTAGCAAGTGGAACCTTCAGCCAGAGGCTGTCAACTTCTATGAGGCAGAGTTTGATGATGCTGTTCCAGGCCTTTATAAGAAGTTGGAGGAGTGCAAGGAAAAGCCGGTTCTCATCGAGTAATGATGTGATCATCAGACCTAAGTTATTCTCAATTGAGCAAGTCCAAACACCCCCATTATTGCGCAACGAGTGTGTGGTTGTGGGGTACAATTTGATCGGATCACATGCTTCAATGTTGGATCTTTTTGATCACCAGAACAGTAAAACAACTTGTTGATGGTGTTGTTCATTTACTACTCTAACAACTTTAAACTTGTAATACTTTTGTTTACAAATAATATATTAATACTACTACGACAAACATAATATAACACCAAACAAGTAAGATCCCAGCAGGATGAAGTTCTCAAAGTATCTGAACTCTGTCACCATCTGGAATCATGACTACATACCCTACCAGAAGCTAAAGAGAAAGATTCTGGCATTGCACTCTCACCACTCATCAGGTGGCGTCGGAAATCTAATCGCTACGCCAGTCCTCAATGAACTTGCTGTAACACCTGCCACTGTACCACAACTACTACATATGATCGAGAGTGAAGTGGTCAAGGTGGACAGCTTCATCAAGCAGAAGGAGGACGAGCTGTACCAGAGATACCTCTACCTCCTCAGCCGATTCAAGGCCATCGACTTCTCCTCACCGTTCTCATCATTCCTGCTTCCACCTACTGGAATCAAAAACATCGATGCCAACTCGATCAAGGACATCAACTCAATGTTGGCCTTCCAGAAGGCCTACGAGGATGTCATCAAGCAACTTGCACAGCTGGACCAATATGCCAAGATCAATGTGTGGGCAGCCCAGAAGCTATTGACCACTCTGGCCAAGAAGTCCAAGATAGAGTCGAGAAGGAAGGGATCCATGTCGACAGAGACCAGTATCACACCGGACTGGGCCAGTCCAGTCCTTCCTCAGAGTCTGCGTGGCTTCCATCCTTCACTCCTCTCCAATCCAAACACACCCACTCTTGTTGAGCCATCGTCCAGGGAGAAGATCGAAGTGTTGCCAATGTTGTCAACACTCTCAACATATACTCAGCCAACAGCACCAGAGATTGAGGAGTATCTCACCAATAAGCTTGGTCATTTGGAGATAACCAGCAGAGCCAATCTCAAGAGGATCACACAAGAGATTGAGAATGAGTACCAAGTGATGACAGAGAGTGGTCTCTATTTCCTAAGTCATCCAAACAATAACTTGTTGACTGTATGTCCTATCATTGATGATCTCGACAATAACAACATTCAATCATCTAACCATTCAATCATTATATACACAAACACATACAGCCCAAGCAGAAGGACCTATCAGAGAATGTTAAACTACTTGTGAGATATACAATTGAGAATAACATCAGTCAAGTACAAGGGTATGTTATTGTTGTTAAGCTAGCAAGCACTACCAAGTAACTAACATTATTATTATCACCATCCATCACAGCGTGACAACATTGTTAAAGAAACAATTGATCGACTTGAAGATTGGCAATGAGCATCCAATGTGGGTTGAGGCCATTCACACTGTCATTCAAAAGGCAGCATACTTTGGTCATGTGGAGATGGCCAAGTATCTATTGGACCAGTTCGTGGATGTTGTCGACCTGGCCTTTATCAATGAGGTCGATCAACAGTTCATTCATATCGCCGCAAGCAAGGGCAACATTGACTTTGTCTCCTTCCTCATTGAGCGTGGTGCCGACATTCAATGTGAGGACTGTCTCAAGAGAACTCCCCTCCATCTGGCCGCTCAGAACGCCCACTACGACGTGGCCAAGCTCCTCCTGGAGAAAGGTGCACTGTTCGATGTCAAGGATCGTGACGGATGCACACCAATCTACCTGTCCAGTCGTCAGACGTGCGACAACTCCAAGGTGATAGACCTGTTGGTGTCGTACAAGGCTGCCCTATCCGAGGGACCCAACGGTCAGCACATGATCCATGAGGCCGCCAGTCATTCAAACATTGAGAACATGCGTGCGATCCTTGCCTACCAAGACGTCAATGTTCGTGACTCCTTTGGCCGCACTGCACTCTACGAGGTTGCCAAGTTTGGCAGCACCGAAGCCTTTTCACTTATTCTCAGCAAGGGCGCAGAGATTGACATTGTCGATGAGGATAAGAGGACACCTTTCCACATTGCAGCAGCCAAAGGTCAGAAGCAGATACTCTGCATGATGATTGACGTACTCAAGACACAAAAGGGAATGTCAACACGTGACCTTGCCAAGCTGATGAATGCACAAGACATTGATGGACTGACCGCACTTCACGAGACATCGTACTTCAACTACGTCGAGTGTACTCAGATCCTGTTGACCAACCGTGCCAACCCATTCGTGTTGGACAATGAGGAGTGGTCTCCCATCGTTCACTCACTCTACCGTGGCAACATTCAGACAGCCTTTGTCGTTGTTGAGTACCTCAAGGCCAACCCCGACATGATCAACCCATCGACACCACCTCTTCAATCAAAGAACGTGTCTGTTGCTGTTCGTAACTCTCCAGGAGGAGCATCAACACCCAAGTCACCCACCATGACCAGTGCCAACTCTGTGCCAACACCCAACAAGAAGATACCCAAGAGCTCAATATCCAATGTCACCTTCAAGATAATGGCCAGTACCAATGCCGATCAGAGGGTTGGTTTGATTGGTAACCGCAAGGCACTGGGCAGTTGGAGTCCCAACCATCCATTGTTCCTCACCAAGTTGAACGACACTGACCACGTCTGGGTAGGCAAGGCAACGTTGCCAACCAACGTGGCCATCGAGTACAAGTATATCATTTGCACTGGCAACAGATTGGATATGTGGGAGTCGTTGCCCGCAAACAGGTCATTCATGCCCGAGGAAGAGGATGAGCTCATCGACGATGGTACATTTGGAGAGGCCAGCACCGACAGAGATGATTTCATGGAGGAGGCCCGTCTACACCACGAAGAAGGCAATAGTGGAATGGACCCTTCTCGTCCCTCATTGGCACAATCGCAGATTGTTGCTCCTCAGTCACCAACGCTACAGTCAAAGCAGGTCTATGTGCAGAAGGGATGGCTGGTGAATGAGCACCAGATCCGTTTGCGATTCGGAGAGACAGTGCTAGGTGATCCACAACGAAAGTTAGTGCAGCCAATCAAGATCTATGGTGATATGGAGGTTGGCAGGATGGTTGTTACACTCAAGGACAGGAATGGTTCGACGCTACCAGGTGCCCAACCCTTCCAAATAGCACTGCCCATTCACATGGATCAGACCATCACATTCCAGACACATGACATTACTGATCTGACCACCATCCAATTCGATATGTATCGTATGGGCATGTCACACGTGCTCATTGGACGCGCCAGTTTGCTTGCCTCTGACCTACTCGATAAGAAGTCGTTCAAGTTCCGTGTGCCCATTATGAACTCCAATCTCATCACCATTGGTGAGCTCTCCGTATTCCCACTGGTCGTATCACCATTCAACCATCCAAATATCACCGAGGTGTTGTCACAGACCTACTGGCGATCGATGCAAACCTTGCTCATTGGACATCGTGGCGGTGGTGCTGAGAGTGCAAGGAACGCTGGCAAGTACAAGCGTACTCACATTGCAGAGAACACCATCCTGTCATTCGTCACTGCCGCATCCTTGGGTGCACAGTACATCGAGTTTGATGTCCAGCTGTCCAAGGACAACGTGCCAATCATCTACCACGACTTTGAGATCCAGTACAACGACTTCAAGATACCCATCAACAAGATTCCTCTGAGCCAAGTAGGAAACATCAGACAGAAGCGTCGTCCAACGCTGGCAAGTTTCCGCTCACAGTCCATGAGCAACCTGGTCGTAGGCAGGGACTCCGATTCGGGAGACGCCGAAGATAAGCATGTCCAAGACGAGTTTGACGCAGGACACGTACCCACACACCCAACCACCATCCTGTCCGATGCCATGACCACCTTGGAGGAGACCTTCAAGCGAGTGCCAGAGGGAACAGGATTCAACATTGAGATCAAGTATCCAAGTGAGGAGCGTGAGAAGGAACTGCGTCTGAACAGTGTTGACCGTAACCATTATGTGGACATCATCCTGTCGATGGTGTTTGAACTTGCTGGCAAGCGTCACATCATGTTCTCATCGTTCGACCCAGACATCTGTATTCTCTGCTCACTCAAGCAACCACGTTATCCAGTCTTCTTCCTGAACAACGGAGGCTTCGAGCAGCACACTGACCCACGAGCCAACTCAATCATGGAGTCGATTCGTTTTGCCAAATCATCACATCTGCTGGGCATCGTCACCAACTCTCGTATCCTTACAGAGGGTCCACCAATTATCAAGGCCGTCAAGCAGGCTGGATTGATGCTATGCAGCTGGGGTCGCGAGAACAATGATCCAGCACTTGTAGATCTGCAAGAGGGTCTCGGTGTTGATGCTGTCATCGTAGACCATGTAGCATACATCCACAAACATTACAATCCAACTGATTAGGTGGAGCAATCAATCGATCAAGTAAGCATTGTCATTTCAGTTATTCATCTTATTGTCTCAGACTCCTTTATTATGATAATAATAATAAACAATAGCAGAAAAGACAATGATAAAGATTCCAATTACAACGATAGCTGTTGTTGCTGTAGAGTCGTCGGCCTCTCTTGCAGGACGGTCCTGAGGGAGTGGTGTGGCAGTGGTGGATGACTTTGAACTACTTGAGGATGATGAACTGCTTGCAGTGGACGCCAATGCTTTGAGCTCCTTCCTTTTGATTATATACTCCTTTGCAATCTCTGGAAACATTCGTTTAAACACTGGGTTCTTTACATTGTACATCATAGACTCTGCTGCTGCCTTCCTTCTAACTGATTGTGATGCAGATATTGAGCCTGCTCCATCTGCATCTTCGCTCTGTGAAGTAGGTCAAAGTCAGTTAGAGATGGTTATTTGTATGAGTAAGTATTCATTCGTTTGAGCAACACGTTACCATGAACGATTGTAGACCAATAAGTATAGACCTAACTCCCCATATTGGGTTCCAACTCTCTGGATGGACTATGTGCCGGTTAAGTAAGTTGGTATGACGACTTACTGGCAGTCTATTGACAACTTACAGTCACTGATTGAGACACATAGTCTGGTATCGCACTCGAACCTTGCAGACGGTGTTGACATTAGAATTGAAGGTGGCTAAAGAACAACATCAGTTAGAATAAGGGTGTGTCAGTTTAACCTGTTCATCGCGATCATCACATTACCTTGTGTGGAAACTCTGAAGGGAATATCAACTGCCCGTGATAGGCACCGCCATAATAAGGTGTTCCCTCTGCCCCATATAATACATAGTGCCACTCTAATAAGTTTGATGGATTTGGCTGTGACACAAATGAATGATGAGAATATAGGCCTTCTGTTTGTGTGTCTGTCTCTGTCTCTGCCAACCTACCTTTGCAACAAAGCCAGGCTCAGGCTTCTTTTGAAGATCAATCAAATCCTTCTGCAGTCGAACCTTTGATAGTAAAGCGGTGGAGCACCCAATGCAGTGATCATGGTCATAGATAGATGATGAGTATGTGATAACATGTCTGGTCAACGACAATTCAAAGTACATACAATACAAGCTCTGTTTGGATTCATTGTTAATAATAAATAAATTGAATTGGAGGTGTTGCTGGGCGAAAGAATGCCAAACACTAAATCGGTGGAGGTGAATCACACAAGAACAAAGTGATTCACCGAACACACCCTGACACAACCTCCACTCGAGTGTTCTCCTGTTATTGAGAACTTGCAAATTTAATTTATTATTATTATTACATTAATTTAGTTATATAACACTGTTCGAACAACTCATTCATTCATTCATTCATTTTCATCTATCTATCAATCTAATAATAATTATCTATCTATTGACATATTCTTTCAAAAATATGGCTGACAATTCATTAACTATCAAGGTCACCTACAACGGTGATACTAGAAGAATGTATGTAGAAAACAATATGATGCTCTCAGTTTCAAGATCATCACCATATGAATACTAACAAGCATTATTACATATTAGTACCTTTGAACGATACCCATCATTCCAGGAACTCTTTCAAACCTTGAAGAATCTCTTCACCCTCGCCGCCCTCACTCTCAAGTACACTGATGATGATGGAGACTTGATCTCAATCACCAGTGAGCTCGAGTTGAAGGAGGCCATCTCTCTGGTCAGCCAGAAGACCCCAAGACTCTTGAGGCTGACTGTGTTGTCCAAGGATAGCCCAGCACAGCAACCAGCACCAACCCCTGAAGCCTTTTCTCAACAGGGCAACAACAACCAGTTTGATCTCTCTGGTTTGCTCAGCTCCATCCTCGGTTCTGATGCTTTCACTGCCCAGCAACAGCAGCAGCAGCGCCCATGTGCCAACATGTTTGGATGTTCCCCTCAGAGCCCAAACCAGCAGGAGAACATCAAGAAGGACATCAACTCCTTGCTCCAGCACTTTGGTCAGGAGAACAATCCTATGATGTTCCTCAACATGATGAAGCCATTCTTTGGTGCTGGTGGCATGTGCAAGAACTTCAATGAGACCAACAACCCATGCAGCAACAACAACAACAACAACAACAACAACAACAACAACAACAATGCTACTTGCAGCAACAACAACGCCCCATCTGAGGACAAGAAGGAGGGTCCAGTTGAGCATGTTGGTGTCAAGTGTGACGGTTGTGATTCCAACATCTTTGGAATTCGCTACAAGTGCACTGTCTGCTTCAACTATGACCTTTGCTCCGAGTGTGAGCAGAAGGGAGAGTCGGTTCATCCAGCATCCCACCCATTGCTCAAGATCACCACCCCAGCCAACCATGGCTCCTTCCCAAGACACTGCCCAGGCCGTCCACGTGGTCCATGGTGTCAAAAGAACAAGCATCTTGCCCGCTTTGTCTCTGACATCACCGTCAAGGATGGTTCCATCTTTGCCCCTGGTGCCAACTTCACCAAGATCTGGCGCCTAAGGAACGACGGCCGTGACGCTTGGCCAGAGAACTCCACCCTTACCTGGATCAGCGGTGACCGTTTGGGTTCCCCAGAGGGACTCACTGTTGAGCCCATCTTGCCAGGCCAGGACATTGACATTGCCGTCAACTTGGTTGCCCCAGCTGCCCCAGGCCGCTACATTGGCTACTGGAAGCTCTTCACTCCAGAGGGACTTGGCTTTGGCCAGCGCATGTACGTTGACATCTACGTAGTCAACGACGGCGAGGAGAAGAATGATAACAAGGTTCAACAGCCTTCAACTGTTGACAACATCCCAGCCAAGTCTGAGGAGGTCGTTGCTGTCCAGCAACAACAGGAGCAAGAGGAGGAGGAGGACAAGCCAAGACTCGAGGAGGACTTCACTGAGATTGCTGTTGAGCAACCATTGGTCGCCTCTGACTGCCAGCCATTGTTGTCGCCAAATGCCCCAGCTCACGTCCAAGTCCCAGCCCAGTTGTTGGTCCCAGTCGTTGAGCAGCAACAGGCTCCAGCTGAGGCCCAGGTTGCTGCCGATCCAATTGAGGACAAGAAGAAGGCCTGTGTTGCTACCCTTGTCTCTATGGGATTCGGACAACTTCCCCAGCTCCCAAGTCTCATCAAGAAGTTTGACTACAACGTCGAGATGATCTTGGAGCACCTCCTCAACCATCATTAAGATGATTCCAATAACCGGTCAACCAAGTGTCGATCTCTAGCTTTCATCTAATCCATCCTTCAAGGATCAATCAATCAAACAAATAATCCAATCAAACAACTAAAACAGACAACAATAATAATAAAGAATAACAAACTGATAACCAAGTATTAATATGTAGTGCATGCTTGATTGATTACAATCCAATGAATATAACCATTATAATAGTTTAAATATATCTTTGAAACGTCCATTGTTGACACTGGTTGTACTCCAGGCTGCAGTGATATAGAGGAGACTGGCAAAGACATTGAAATAGTTTGTCCAAGGGAGGTATTCCATCACCGCCGCCAGATATAATGAATATGTGGTACTACAGATAAGACCAGTCTGTCTCTTCCAAGCACTGTTCCTGGTCAACAAAAAGGTGGAGAAGAAGAATATCCAACTCTTTCTCGCAGCATTGGAAATGGCCTCCAACATGAACAACAGAATATGATTCTTTGACTCTTGCTGCCCACTCAAAGCAGGCACCATGACGTGCAACAGTCTGAGTTTCTTCTGTCTGCCTATATACATCAGTATCCTTGAAATGCTAACCCAAATGCCTGTTGATATATCAACTTATAAGTTAGACTTGTCTCTTATCTTGTTGTCTGTTGTTTCCTTACCTAACAGGAATGTAGAGGTGATCAATACTCGTCTAGAGTACTTCAGACCCCAATTGTTGCTGTTTCCTTGTAGCTCCTCCATCTCTGATACCTTCTTTTTCAATTGCTCAACCTCTAGCAGTATCATCTGAAGTTGTGATTCTAATCTATTTACAATATCCACTTGAAGAAGTTGATGTGCATGTCAGGTTAAACAACACTTGTCCTGTCCCCTATATATCTACCTGAGGTATCATACCATTATTCTTTGTTTGATCGTTGTTGTTTCCATTGGTACCATTGAGATTAAATTGTTGTAGTTGTTGTTGTTGATGCTGTTGTTGTTGTTGTTGCAATAAGTACTGTTTGAATGGTGTATTATAATTGGTGTATAGTTGAGGTGATACTAATGGATGATGTTGTTGTGATTGTGAATGTTGTTGTTGATGCTGTTGTTGTTGATGCTGTTGTCCTTGATATTGTACAGGTAGGTTTAGATTGAAAGGAGTACTCTTACTCCTCTTCATATCGCTGAATGGATTCAGAGGTATGTTACTAGTGGATGAGACAGCTGTATACATCCCTGTATCATTGCTTCTCTCATTCATGATTAGAATGTTATCTGATTAAATGTGTACACAACAAGTTTGGATGAGATAAATGATTAATTGCAATTGACTTGCTGGGGGGTGGTTTGATGGCGATTGTGAAGGGGTTTAGTCCCACCACCGGGAAACTCATCGGCCCCAGACATGTGATTGATCAATCTTATAAAGATATATCAAATATTATTATTATTATTTATTACCATTGGTAATGGTGTTTGGCTCTGGTGAGCTTTCCAGAAGGGAGACTGCTGAATCGAGTGCAACTTCCAACATACGGTATGTGCCCTGGTGAACGACCTCTCTGTTTGGCTCGTACTTCTCTGTGATCTCGCGCTCAAAGATGTAGTTGTCAATATTTACACAGCATCCTGCACGAATTCCTCTGAGACTGGAAACAATGAACAGAATCGACGCCTCCATCTCGATAGCGAGCACACGCGAGCGTGCCCACAGCTTGTTGTGATTGCCCAGAGGGCCGTCAAAGAAGTGTCCCACTGTCGTGATGATTCCAACTCCATAGTTGATCTCGGGCACCTTCTTGGCGCTGTCGATCAGTGCCTGGACAACCTCATGGTCGGCCAACGCAGGGTAGCCAAGTGGAACCAGTCCCTCGCTGACACCATCACCACGCACTGCACCAGTGGCAATGACCAGTGAACCCTCGCGGTAGCGTGGGTCGAATGAGCCGGCAGTTCCAGCACGGATGATTGTGGTAACACCGGCCTGGATGAGCTCCTCAAAGCAGACGCTGGCGCCACCACCGCCAATGCCGTGGGACATGACGATCAGCTCTATGTCCTTCCATGTGCCCTGGTAGCAGTGGTACTCGCGCACGGCACAGATAAGACGGGAGTTCTTCATCAATTTCTCAGAGACGAGCTTGGCGCGGTTGGGGTCTCCGACAACGACGCATGAGCGTGGAAGCTTTCCAATTGGCAACGAACAAATCGGTGTGGTCTTAATATCCATTGTATGCATTCACAATGTATGTGCTATCTATATATCTGTCTGTATATGATGATGATGTTGATATCTGTTTGTGTTGGGGGAGCTGGATGTTCTGTATGTATCCTAGCTAGTTGTTGTTATATATATATATATTGTACAGTATATATAATCTATCTATCTATCTATCTAAACTCTAATCGATGAGGAATACAGAGTCAATAAAGTGTTTATGAGTGATTATATATGATGTGATGAATGATTGATTAGAAAGAGAGAGTGAATGAGTGTGTAGGGGAGGTCAAGAAGGAGGAATAAGGAGAGATTGAATGAAGGCAGAGTTACAAATCTCTAACAAATTAATGGTGATTTTAATTATGATGACGATCAATGTTGATGACGATCAATGTCAGTATCGCAACTGCAGTAAGCAGCCACACTGACTGACTGACAACTGATCGACTGCAGTCAGTGTGGCACACCCCCATCGTCGTTGTTGTTGTGTTGTTGGAGATTGGAAATTTAAGTCACGTGTTATGTGTTTGTGTGTGATAGTGAGGGATGGACATGACATGGTGGATATGATTGTTTGTGTGTTGTTAGATGTTATACCTTTAAATAATAATAGTGTTTGAATAGTAATAATGTCTTTCTGTCTGTCTCTCGTATGTAATTGTATGATGTTGTTGAAACAAAACAGTTGGTCTATTCCATTCAATGAGACGATTCTTCTTCCTTCACCCCATTGGGTAAAGGGAACTTGGTGTTTTGAACGATAATTAAATTAAAAAAAATGAATGAAAAAATCTTTTGATCTTGATCTCGACTCGAAGTGTCGTTTGTACCAGTGGTGCGGCTCACTCGTGACCCAAGCTCGGGTCACAAGTCATCGTCGTTCGTAACCAAACTTTATTTGGTGGTGCCATTGTTCCTGGTTGAAGATGAGCCATGGACATGGTTGAAGAAATCGAAGAGCTGTCTCCCACACTCGCTTGATCCCAACAGGTTACAGAGTTCTTCTAACGATTGTTGAGCCAGCTGGTGAAGGTCTCGCACGCCATCCATCACCCGTTTGATATTCAGCTCAGTGATACCTGGTAGCTTTCGAAGTACATCCTGTGGTCCATAATGATAGTTGGTTCCGCCTCCGCCGCCACCATTGGAGGCATCATTCTCCTCAGGTACCTCCTTGATGGCATCTGGATCAGGTTCAACGTTGCCCTTCTTAAGTCGTTTGTAGATGCCCACCGTCGAGTATGCTGAGCGCGACCAGAGAATCCGCAGACGTGGGAACGCTCTGGCCAGTTGCACCAACTTGCTTGACAGTGAGTACTGCGATATGTATGGAAGGTGCGGTTCCTCTGGGGTCATCAGTGATGTGAACGGTTGGTTGTTGTCGTACTCGATCAGTAGCACTGGATTGCGGTACAGTCTGGACATGGCTTCGATCTGGGCATAGAGTCTACCCGACTGGAACGATCCAACCAGATCTGGAATGGACTTTCTCTCGATGGCAATCGAAGGTGTGATGACATAGTCGCCAGACTCTAGTGACTTTGGTACGATCTCAAAGCCTGCTCCTTGGAGTGCCACTGGAAGAGAGCTCTTGAACTCGTGTGAGTCAACGATCACCTTTTGCTTGGTGGTCGGAACCAGTGATCTCCGTCCACCTGCCCTGCTGTTACCCCAGAGCTGCTCATCGGTTGTGTCATTTACCATGAGCTCATTGACCGTTTGGTCATCGACGTTCTCAGAGACGTTCAACACCAGCTTGCTCTTCTCGTATATCAACTTTTCGAATGATTCTTGCTCGCGGTTGAGAATGGAGACGTACTTGCGCTCCTCCATCGAATCCTTGTAGATCATACAGTAGGTGCGAAGAATGGTGTTGGGGCTCTCGGCATTGTACACCTCAATCTGTCGGATGATGGACATGTCCATGTCGTAGACAACGATGAATCGTGGTTGTTTCTCCTCGAGGATGGACAATGAGTTGGTGATTGGATGGATGACAATGTAGGGAGGTGGCAGTATACCATAATACTCTGCCAGTTGACCAATTTCAAAGTCGCCAACTGCTTGTACATAGGCATCCTGTTCAATGGCGCTGAGTGATTGTGTTGTTGTTGTCGTTGTTGTCGTTTGATCTGTTGCCTTGATGTTGCTGTTGACAACCGATACGCCCATTGAGAATAGACTGCTACTGTTGGTGCCCTTGTCCATCTTCTTTCTGTAGTTTGTCTCTGATATCTTCTGCTTCCTCGTGGACTGTAGCTTCTTTCTTGAACTGTAACTGTATCCCTTGTTGCTTTGTGATTGTGACGATGATGACGTTGACGATGATGGATAGTTTGGTTTGGTGCGGAAGGTGTAGTGATTTGAACTGGATTGTGGCTCTGAAGGTGGATACCATCGATCGTACTTTCTCTGCAACATCTGACGTCCACCAAGCGTGAGGTACTCTTGCAGCAGGTGGCATGTAGTCTCGTTCTTGACAAACACAAGGACAGTCTCCTGCACATCGGATTCTATGCATTGCTCATTGATCTCATCAAAGATCTCAACGAGCAGGTTCCACTTTGGATTGTCCTCCAACACAAACTCACGTTCAAATATCAGTGGTGGCATTGTGTAGGCCTGGTCCTTTGATGATGGTGATGTGGCTTGCTTTGACTTGTCTGTCTTTAGCTTCTTGTGACTCTTCTTGAGCTTCAGGACACGCTGCCTGTAGACTCGCTCACGGGCATAGCGGAACAGTGTTGTTGCCTGAGGACTGTGTATCCAGCTCTCACCAATTTCCATGTCTCTGTTGGCAATCATCTCTAGCTGTTTGAGAAAGGTGACGCAGTCGTGGCTGTTGCAGTTGTTGGAGAGCATACGTAGCTCCTTGATATTCGATATCAGATGCTTGGATCGTTTGTTGATGTCGCCCCATATCGGTTTGAGTTGGTTCTGGACCATTGAGTCAAAGCTACTAAAGAGACCATCGTCGACGTTCACTGCTGGTGCCCCGGACTTGTCCCAGTTCTTGTTCTGCTTCTGCAACTGCACCATGGCCTGCTGAATCGTTTCGAGCAGGGACTTCTCAATGTTGACCATCGACTCGGTCATTGGTGTGTGTAGCTCGAGGAGATCAAGTTGGGTCTTGTCGAGTGTGGCCTGGATCTTGGCTTGGAAGCAGGGCCACAGGTCCAGGTGATTGACTCCAAGGTACTTCATAACACGCTGCACTCGACCAATCTCCTGTGTCAAAGCGGCAGGATCAGTAGAGAATGCCTTGACAAAGCCAGTCTTGTTTGATTGGCGATAGAGACGAATGAGAAGTGTCTCTGTCGACAGGTCAGTGATTCGATGTGCGTTGTTTACAATGATGCCCGAGATCAAGTGAGAGGGCATCCTCTTTGTCAAGAAGTCAAGTGCAAAGATTGATGCTTGAGCAAAGTAACAGCCACCCTTCTTGTACATGTTTGACCTGTATATATAAGTAAGAGGTTAGTCGTGATCCCGGATCATAACTTATGAGTATCCAATAACACATACTTTGAGGAACCTGATTGCTCTTGATTGATCATCGTAGGTAGGTTGGCATACTTGATGCCAAAGGATAGGAGTTGTTCTGTGTAGTATACGTAGGCTTCCTGCAACGACTCGTTGATGGGGTCGAGGTAGAGTACCAAATGGTCACTGTCCGAGTATAACTTGAGGAATGCAAGAATGACATGATGCAAGCCCAGTCCCTTTGCCATCACTACGAGGCAATCATTCTTATTAGAACAAGAAAGGTACACATCTTTATGAAAGTCAAGTGTCATCCTTTCACATGTTATATATATCAATGTATTATCTCTATATATATGCTGTTTATCAACAATAAACTACAATTGTCAAACACTTCGAACATGTTCATTGTCTTCACACTTTGACAACAGTTCACAAAGAGGATGGTGTAAAAGTTGGAAACAGGGATATATTCCTGTTGTTGGACATTGTTATTGACAGGTTGATTAGTATTACATCCTTTTGACCATGGTTGCATCGAGTTGCTTCAGATTGGGGAACATGTTGATAAATATCCTACGATACTGTTGATGCTGAGCAACTGGATTCCTCTCAAAGTAGAGACACGTGATTGACTTGGTAATTTGTTGTTCAATGTTATCCATGTCATCACATTCATTGTCATTACACTATTATGGTCATTGTTGGTAAGTTAGTTCAATGAAACAAGTTGACTCTGTATATGACTAACTTACCCATAATTCTTCCAGGTTGGTCAACTTGTCAACACCAACCAGTTGTTTGATCTTGTTGGCAGAGATGTCAAGTATTTGCAAGTTGATCAATGATTGTACGCCATCCATGTTGGTGATACCATTGTGAGATAGATAGAGCTCGGTCAAGTTGGTGAGTCCTTCAAGACCATTACCAATCTCTGTCAGACGATTGCTTTGAAGACTCAGAATAGTCAAGTTCTTCATGTGATTGACGTTCTGGATCGATGTGATTTTGTTCCTGCCCAACCAGAGTGTCTTGACATTGACTAGTTTATCAAGGTTCTTGATCTCCTACAAGTTTTGTTTGGTTGAGATGTAAGTGACAATGCAAGCTAGTCAAGGCCTGTTCGCATTAGTTAGTAGTTACTCTAAACCTGTTTGAACCAAGCTCAAGATTGGAAAGAGTGACCAACTCTTCCAAGTTCTGCATCTCTGTGATCTTATTGTTTGCTAGATATAGTTCTTTAAGTTGTGGCATCTCCTTGGCATGAAGGTTCTCAATGACGCGTATCTCATTGAATGAAAGGTCGAGGTATCTGTTGTGTAAGATTGGTAAGTACAACGATCATAGTGTTGATGTCCAGTTGGATGTAAACATTGACAATAACAACATACGTAAGGTTTGGGAGGTTGTTAAGATTCTTGATTGCCTGCAGTTTGTTGTCGTAAAGGTCTAGATGTTGGAGTGAGACCAGAGTATCAACACATTCAATCTCTGCAATGAGGTTCTGTCTAAGGCATAGTTTCTACATTGATTGATTGATTGGAGCACTGATGATTAGTCAATCAAATGGATGGTCGATTGATAGATTGAATATCGATTCCTAACCTTTAAATTCACCAAGTGTGATATGTTGTCCATCCTCTTGATCTTATCATTGGTCAAGTCTATATCCTAGAGAGGGTCATCGTTGATATACACATCAGTCGGTCAGTCAGTATGCTTGTGACACTCGCTAGGCATAGTATTAGACAACATACGACGAGTGTTGCAGGCAGAGAGTATCCATCACCTATAAAGTCATGAGGTTGACCTGTAAGATCCAATATCTCATCATGCTCCACATAGTCCAATTGAGGTACCTTTGGAGCATTGTCTGTATTGTTATCGTTATTATTATTGTTGTCGTTCATGTTGTTTATCTATTAATGTTGGTTTGGTGTTTGAAACAATGAACTTCTCACATTCCCCGCATTAATGTCAAAGTTGGGACCTCAAGGACAACCCTCAGGTTCAACTTTGTATTTGTATATAATCTTAATAATAATAATATATATTTAATTATATAATGCGTATTATTCAATGATAGAGTTGTCAATGTCACAGCTGGACTCCTTCAACTCATTGATACAGGGTGGACCATTCCAACGGTAGTATTGCACTTTGTTCTTGCCTGGATTGTCAGACTTGGTGATCAGTCCAATACTGTCCAGGATCAATGCCATGTCATACAGTCTTCTGGACTTGGCCGTCGTCAGGTAATTGTGATACAGTTCTTTTGCATTCTTACAGGATACAGTGTCCTATATAATGAGAAGGTATGTTAGTAAGTGTTCATGTCATCACAGAGAGGAAAGAGATGGTTACATACATATATAAAGAATAACTTGATGAATTGCTTATATATCAAGGATAACTTGGTTGACTTTTGTTGAGATAGTGATATCTTGGTCGGTCGTGATGATGGTGAGTTGGTGACGGATGATGACGAGGAGAGGTCGAATTGGAGCTCGTGGTTGTTGTTGTTGTTGCTGTTGTGGATGTTGTGGTCGTGGTTGTGTTTGCATCTGGCGCAGACAAACTCCTGCTCTCCAGTCAAAAAGTTGATGCTCGAGTGGAAGATCGACTCGATGCACTTGGAGATGTTGTGCATACCCAGCCAGTGGTACGAGTTGTGGCCTCTCTTCTGGATGATTCCAATGCACTTCATCACGTGCAGGATGGAGTACATGCGCGTCAGGTCAACTCCATGCTTGAGGGCAAAGGCGTCGATGAACACTTGCTGGCTACCTCCTTCCTTGGCCATCTCGGTGTGCTCTCGGATGAAGATCTCGCAAATATCCACCAACTTCTTTGGCTTGGGTGTGGTCATGCCAGATGGTAGTGGTGTGGACTCCTCGGAGGAGTTGGCGGCCTCGGCATCAAGACGCTCCTGAGCAGCCTGTTGCATTTGCAGGAACTCTGGTGACATCTTGAATGGCTCGTAGTAGATGTTGTCGGTCGTGGCAGCAGTGTTACATTGTTGTATATTTACAGAGTCATGGGATTCATATATCGAATCCTTGGACAGATGCTCGGGCATTTGAACAAGTTGGGATTGTTGTTGCTTCTGCATCATATAATATTGTTGGTATTGGTACTGGAGGTATAGTTGTTTCTGGTACATCTGTTGGTAGAGTAACATTTGTTGTGTTTGTTGTTGTTGTTGAATATATTGTTGGTATTGTTGTTGGTATTGGTATTGTTGCATTTGTAGTTGTTGTTGATATTGTTGTTGTTGTTGTTGTGGTTGTTGTTGTTGTTGAAGCAATAATTGTTGTTGTTGTTGTTGTTGTTGTTGTTGTTGGATATATAGTTGTGGATTGTACATCATCATTTGTTGTGGTTGTTGTTGTTGTTGAAGTGGAACAGCCATCAATTGTTGTTGTAGATGATACTGTTGGAGTAGTTGTTGGTTTTGTAGTTGGATGTTGTTGACTGCCTCAGACATTGTGGAGCATGATTCAATTAGGGAGTTGGAATCCTCCTCGGGGTCGGACAACAGGAAGGACTCGGGCGAGATCTCAACCAAACATGGATTGGCTGGTGCATAGGGATGCCATGGTGGGCAGGGTCTGGCAGGGTGAGGTCTCAAGTTTCTCCATCTTTATAAAACTAGGAGTGGCAGAGCCTGGCATTGACTCGCCCTTTAGAGACATTAATGGTGAGCCTTCACAAGAGGCGTATACTACAGTCGGTGTGTTGGGTGCCTGTTGCTCGAACTGTTCGGACAAAAAGTTGGACAACTCAATGCTTTCCATTATATTATTTTGTTTGATTGGTAGTACTTGTATATTGGTAGTAATGGTATATATGTTATGATTTGATGTTGGTTGTTGGTAGACGACAAAGACTTTGAAGATACAGAGACAAACACAAACACACACTAGTTGTAAATATTGAGGTGAGAGATTGATTGATTGATCAGAAGATGATGATGATGATGACTACAACTAGACACTAAAGATGATTGATGGTTTGAGGAATGACGACTGAGACTTCTTCTGATTTAATGTAACAAAACCCTAGGCAGGCAGGTCCGGCAGAGACTGACAGACTGTCAAAGGAATTGGCCAAGCGGGCAACGGCGACCACCCTCTCCCTTCCCACTTCCTACTTGTTGGCAGTGTGTAGTAGGAGTAGAGACGGCACATCAATATAGATGCCAATGGCAATCATATCCAATCACACACATAAACACATACACAGAATAGGGCTCAGGGCGTACCAATGGTCACACCTTATTAATAAGCCTATTTAGAGAGCCAATAGCATCCAATTTTGAGTGAGATAATCGCTGAGATACAGAGTCAATTGTGAGATTGTGATCCGGCTTACCTCACCACTCATCACCAACCACTCTGTCAATCAATCAACCACTTCATTCACATCAATCAACATCTTCACAAACACACACACACACACACACACAAACCCCTCCAACTTGCGATCATTTGACATTGATCAGGCATCCACACACACTAACACACTCACCTGACCTTCATCCAATGATTGTGGTTGGGCCCATTTATTATTGGAACATGGAATTCAAGGAGGATGGATCGTGTGTGTTCGAGTAGTCACTGGTGTGATTAGTGGTGGAGATTGCTGCCGATGAGCTAAAATAACGCAGATGGATAAGTTAGTTAGACTCCTACATACACCCAGGTCCACCAAAGATATATGTTGTGGACTCGATGTCGATGGCTGTCAGTGATTGTATGTGTGATTGTCAATTGAGTGTGTAAAGTTGATTGACTCGTAAGGCCCCCCACAAAGAGAGAGTTTGATGTAAGTGTAGGGCAACACTAAAGTCGTTTATGGTAATAACCATCCATCCTTCATGAATAAGATTGCCCATTGGCCGACGTAACGATGTTAGTGATCACATTCTCCAACATCAAACATTAATGATGTCACCTGACGTAGATGGATTGTGTTGCCACCTCCATCTCTCTCGCCGTGAGTGTGATACATTCCAACACATCGAGTGGATGTCGCCCAAGGTTGTTGGTGGAATGGAGGAAAGGAGCTCTCCTCTTGGCTGGCTGGCTCGTTGACAATAACAACAACAACAAAGGGGTGGTACCACGGCCACTGGTACGATATCACACACTTTCACCAGACTCCTAATACTGTCTCACCATGGTGGCGACGTCAGTTCTTCTGGTGTGGATACCCACCGTAGACATGTGTGCTAACTTCGGACCTTCCCTCTGTTCATGTTTCCGTTCAGATAAGCTTCTCAACTGACTTCCCTGATGGTTGCTTGGTCCAAGTTCGTTGGAGAGTTCCCAACAGCAACCAACACCACCTATGACAAAGAGTGGACAACATCAACAACAGCAAGGTAATGAGTTGTGGTGGTTCGCAATGAACACACCCATTGTCTTTATATCTGGGTCTAGCTTGTTGCCTAAACATATCATAATGTTCGATTGTTTGAAAAGCGTGCCTTGTTGGAGTGCTGGGCCTGGGTTGATTGATTGATTGGTTGAGTGATTTGATGGGAATGGGTTGATGGATTGATTATTGATGACGACGAGGTGGGTTGTTGTTGGATTAGTGTAATTACAAGTTTGCGAGGTAGTCTTTGATCTGAGATGGTGACAATATGCTAAACTTCTTGTCCACACCAATGATAGCCAACTCCATATTGCTCTCTGTCAACTGTGTCTCGAATCCTTCTTTCAAAGTGATAAGTGCCGTCTGAATGGCATCCTCAATCTCTAAATCATCATTGTAACGCTTCTCGAGGAATGTCTTTGAGTTTACCATGTTCTTTCTACACAAACGTATCGTCACATGAATGACCTTGTATGTTAGTATATGATTGTGTTGTGTTATGTTTGAGTCATTGAACATACCCAATAGCAGTTGCCTTCCAGGCAAAGTATGAACCGGATGGATCGACCTGGTACAGGTGTGGACCATTCTCATCGAAACCAGCGACGAGCAGTGACACACCGAATGGACGCACACCTCCTGATTGAGTGTACTCTTGCATGACAGAGGCCACCTCTCTGACCAGCTGCAGAACTGGGATCTTAGCCTTGTAAGTTTGATAGTACTTCTCAGCCTCCTTTCTTGCCTTCTTTATCAAGACACGAGAGTCTGGACCCATTCCTGCGTATACGAATCCTATGTTCTCAGTGATCGATGATATCTTTTGAACTGATGATCCATCAACCAATGAGTGCAACTTCTTCTCTGTTACAATAACAACTCCATTCTTTGCTATATATATTATATATTCATTATTATTATTAATATTAGTGATCTATATTCAATCTATCAAGTAAGGATATATCAATGATCACTAACCCTTGATACCAATGGCTGAACCACCTGCACCAGCAGCGTGAAGGGCATGTTCAATCTGCACTAGTTTACCCGAAGGACTGAATGTTGTCAATGAGAATGAGTAGTCTGAATCCATTATTTATATATATATATATATATGTGTATGTTTGTATATGTGTACAATAAAGTTAGTAATATGTGTGTGGATGATTATGATTAGAATGGTGATGATCAAAGTTTGTTACAAGTGATGTTCAACCTCTCAATTTTGATAATTAATTTTATAATGAAAACTGAACTTCTGACATATATAATTGTAATGTTTAGCCGCTTGTACCTTTTGAACCTCAATGAATAATTTAGATAAATAAAAATACACTGTTTGACAAACAACGAACTAATAAATTAATGTTATTATTATACAAATACACAAAGTAGTCTACTACTTTGTAGTTCCTAGAATTGAAAGTATGTTTAGAACAATGCCGCCAAATTTTGTTTCCAACATAACAATGTTTCCAACACACGAATCGCAGGCTTATAACATAGATAAATTGACGACAGACAGACATGGACGATGACGATGAGGACAATATTGGTGGTCCACCCGTTGACATTGATGATGTCAATAATATCAGCGATGATGACCGAGTTCAAATATTAGATGATGACGATGATATTGATGACTCTATCAACAACAACAACAACAATACAACAGGAACAAACAATAGTTTCAATGATAGTATCAACAGCAGTGTAGACTTTGACTTTGATTTCGATGATGTACTTCAACCACAGCCTGCTGCACAACAGTCTACCTCGCCTCATTCAATGAGTGTACAGAGAAGAGGAAGATCTGGCTCGTGGGGATCGTCGTATAAAGGCGCCAAAGCACAAAACACTACACCAAAGACGACACCAAAGACGACACCAAAGACACCTCCAGCACCCAAACCAAAGCGTATAGCTCCTGCCTTCAAGGTGGTCAAGGGCACAAACTTTATGGTTGATGGTAGGTATTGTTTGTCTCAACGTTAACAGGACAGGGCGAGATGAATACTTACCAACCTACTCATTATTTATTTAGGATTCCAATACAAGTCATCTGATTATCAACACTACTTCTTGACACACTTTCACTCGGATCATTACACTGGCTTAACAAAGACATGGAACTTTGGTTCAATCTACTGTTCCGTCGAGACTGGTAAGCTCGTTCACAGAAGACTTGGTGTCGATGCTAAATATATCAAAGCACTACCATGTATGATCGCGATCAAGCATACTATCCATTGATGGTCACCTAATAACCATCTCACATCTTGCACTGACCATACACACAGGGAACAAGTTTAAGAAGTTGGAAGGAGTTGATGTTGCTATACTTGATGCCAACCATTGTCCAGGTTCAGCAATGTTCCTATTTAACATCAATGGAGAGTATACTCTACACACAGGTGACTTTAGGTATCATCCAAGAATGAATGATTACCAACTATTGCGAGAATGTCAGCTGACCAGTATGTACACGCAACTCTCACTCCAAATTAACCGACCGACCGAGTGACAGACTGACTCATTGTATACACTTTAGGACTGTATTTGGACAACACATTCTGCAACCCTCAATATGTATTCCCACCTCAGCAACAGGTGATTGGTGAGGTAGCCAGTATTGTAAAGAGAGAGAACGATGGAGAGACGATGTTTTTGTTTGGCACCTACGTCATTGGCAAGGAGAGGATCCTGCTAGAGGTGGCCAAACAAGAGAAGAGACGTATATGTGTGTCAAATGAGAAGTATCAGACACTGGAGTGTTTGGACATGGACATTGAGAAGATCTTCACCAAGGATGAGAGCGAGACACCCTTTCACGCAGTGTCTATGGGACTCATTCGACTGGACACACTTAATGATCTGGTGGCACAGTCCAAGGGACGATACAAACGAGCCATTGGCTTCCGTCCCACTGGATGGACACAATCAAAGAAGGCAGTCACCTATCGCAAATGGAACAATGCTGTATTCTACAGTGTTGCTTATTCTGAGCATAGTAGTTATAATGAACTACAGGCTTGCATCGAGCACTTTAGGCCACAGGAGATCGTGCCTACCGTCGACTGTGAGACTGAGCATAAGGTCAAGGTATGTGGTGTGGACAGACAGAGAAGAAGAGAAGTTATTGACTAACTGACTGGCCATCCCAATCACTTACAGAGTATATTGTCACACTTTGATGATATCTATGATAGGAGAAAACAAAGATCTATATCATCATTCTTCAGTTCACTTGGTAGTGGTGCAGGCAAAGGAGGTGGAGGCAGCAGCAACACGAGTAGTTCTACAACATCAACACTCCTGTCATGGTTTGGTGTTGGAGGTGATGATAAGGGAAACACAACAACACCGATCAAGAAGGATAAGAAGAAGGTGTTTGATATAGACGAGCTCATTGACTTTAACTATGACAGTTCACAGTCAGATGCATCTCAGTTGACATTGCCACCACCTACTTCAACATCATCCACAACAACAACGACAACAAAAACAACCTTATCAACATCATCATCAACTACGCCTTCATCGTCACAATTAGTTTTGTTTGATGATGGAAGCAACGAGGCAGATCTATCCTTTGACCTCAATGATCCAGTGTTCATAAGCCAACAGCGATGGATAGAGAAACAACTTAAATCCAGTACATCCTCAGTTGGAAACTCTTCAAAATCATCAACATCAAGCAAGAGTAGTAGTAGCAGTAACACAAGTGCCAACAATAGAAAGAACAAGACATCACCCGCTCAGAAATCCACATCTCGATCAACAAAGAAATCAAAGACAGACACAACCGATGTGTCAACACCATCGACAGCGATTGTCGTACATACTGCACAACAGCCTGTTACAGACACATCCACCCAGTCCTCTTCTTCCTCCTCATCATCATTTTTCTCAACACAATCCAACGCAGTCGATGCTCAACGCCAGCCAATGACCCAATCGTTCATCACCAACTTCTTCCAGCGCTGTACCAATAACTCAACGATCCAATCACTGTTTACCAAAAACAAAGGATAGCCACTGGCTCCTTGGACACAATGAATATTGGCCGTGTCTGATGTGTCACATTGCACATTGTACCATAACCAATTTTGATGTTGCCCTTTCCAGTCGACATGGATCAACAACAACAGAAATGTCTATTTCTGATTGATTGTAATAAGGCGCCAATCACTTGTAATTAATGAAACACCATCCTCCATCCATAACATGACACAACATCATATCTGCTGTCTTGATAGTGATAATCAGACGAGTGTTGATCTATTTGAGCTATTTCTGATTGATTGATCACCCCAACCTCTAAACACATCATCACTCACACTCCCACTCACATACTCACACACACTGATTGAATTCAAACACATACTAACACACACATAGTGCCGACAGCCAATCACCTGACTATCAATCATTCTCTGTAACATTCGAATGTACATGTACACGGTCCCCTTCTATTGATCACACATGCCATCTGATTTAGTATTGTATCCATCTACTCATTGTAGGACATGTTACACCCTTGTGTACGGATGGATGATCAAGTGGACGATGTTGGTCACGAGGTGATCGATCGCGTTGTCGTCAGACATTATAAATGATTGATGGAGGATTGGAGTCCCAATATCATCATCATAATCAACAACAACAACAACAACAATCACGTCGACGATCAACTATCTATTGTCCATCTATAATCCAGAGTCCGGATTATCATCATTAATCATTCAATTAACATCCTAACTACTATTTGGATAATAATAATAACTACTTCCAATCCTTGGAATGAATCTTAATATCTATATAACAGTTATAGTTGCTGTGTGTCTGGTCAATGTTGGTAGTGTCCATTGTAGATGTACTAAAGGTGAAGGTCAAAGTATCTTTAAGGATTCACTAAGCTTTGGTGTACAAGATTGGTCGTGGGCAAAGTCTGGCCGTTACAACTGTACCAACCCAGTACACTCTGGACAATACTCCATCTCATTCACACCACAGAACTATGAAGCATTCCACTTCAAACTTGACAATCCAATCGATCCAGAGACTGTATGTATATCCTATCCACCTGTCGCCACACAATCTTTAACCAACACATACTAACTATCAATCAATCAAACATACTAAAGAGTGCATATATATCTTTATGGTTGAATGGTGGAGTAGCTGGAAGACAAAAGATATATGCTCGTCTGACACATGATAATGTGGCCATCAACCTTGACTACTTGCTGTTTGGTCCAAATGGAATGCTGGTCAATGCCACAGAGATACTGCCCAACACATGGACACAGGCCATAATCAACTTGGACAATGTAGACCCAATGTTCTACGATGGATTGCAATTGCTATCGGTTGGCAACAAGCTCCAAGAGACACTCTACATCGATGACATTGTCATTTTTAAGCGCTGTGACATTGATCCATACACCAAGAAGGCCGTGTCCAACAAGACCATTCCAGGCGCCGAGTCAGTCACCATGCGTGTCGTCGAGTACAAGCTGCCATGGTTCGAGAAGGGCAAGCAGTACCAGAAGTACTTTATCACGTTCAAGAACATTGGCGAGTACACCATCAGTAACTTGAAGTTCAAGCCACTGTACTTCAAGCCGAGGGATGGTCAGCACGACATTTGGGGCTGTGATGTCGTCTCCAAGGGTTTGTACACCATTCCCAAGATCTACAACAATGCCTTTACCAAAGGTTCCGAGTTCACTGTTGGTGTAACGTCTCTGGTCGGTCCTGTCAAGTTTGAGATCACCAATGCCGATATCATGAAAACTGCCGCCGTCGTCAATGATGAGCAAGAAGAGAGCTAGTCACCTCCATCTCTTTCGATCACTCCATCTGTATTCCAAACAATGTATTATGATCCTGTATGATCATACAGGACAACTCCGATAACTTAATAAATAACTCTTCTCATTCTTACACAACCTATTACTCACAGATCACAGTGAGAATGAAATAAGTTGTGTTTTCGAACTCCATTTTGTCGTTTTTTGGCTCAATCAGAATAAAAAAAGTGATGCTAAGGCTTTTCGTCAAAGTCATAATAAACAGATACAGATAAAGATACAACAATGGTGTTCAAGAGACTGTTGGGTAACCTTACCCCAAAGATGGGTAACAAGAACTATTATAAAGGAAGAGGTGTTAGGAATCAGGGTACCATCTCATCAACAGGTATGTATCATTCAATCAATCATCAATGACTAAATGATGATGTCATTGTTCATACACTAACATGTCTAATATATGTCAATAGGTCGTTTCAAGTTGGATATAGCAAAGATGGAGGTTATCAATACACCAGACCTGACAAACTGCGAGGTATGATAGATAAATAGATATACAGATAGATAGATAGGAGATGACGAATGAACGAATGAATGAATGAATGAAGTCTCAGCACGATCATTGACCAAACACACACTGACATTATGATCTCTTGTAGCTTAAACCATATGTATCAAGACATTATCATTACTATACTTTAGATCAAGTTAAGGAGTTGCAGGATAAGAAGATCCAAAACAGACAGAAACAATTGGAGACACTGCAATAAACAGATACATAATATATTCGCGACGACATAGGTTAACATCGACTGTTGATATAGATATAGATATAGATAGATAGATAGATAGATATATATATTTATTTAAGAGTACTCTTTAGAGCAAGCAACCACTCGTCCATCGTCTTGGATGAGTCGCAGGCCAGATGCCACACTCGCTTTGGTGTATGGATGTCGATACCAAAGTAGCCCTCGGTAGACTTTTCTTCCTTGCCAGAGTTCGCCGCTGGAGTCCTGCCGCCACCACTGTTGGCGTTGCCATGGTCAAAGTTGAGTTTAATGTTACAGTTGTTGGGCTTGATGGCTACGGGGATGGCAGTGTGTAGGTCGATCGATCCCTTGTACTTGAGCTGTTCGTAGTGGCAGTGGTCCGAGTACTTGTCCAAGGGCTCCACCGACGTGTCGATCACCGTGGTCATTTGTGGCGCAGAGATATGCTGTTGTTGATGCTGTTGTGCATTGTGATGATGGTGATGCTGCTGTGATTGCTGCTCGGATGGGTGATAGTCATAGTACAACATCGTCTTTCTCTTGTCCAAGATGAAGTAACGACGCTTCCAAGACTTAACCTTGATACCTTGCTTGCGCATCCAGCCCTGTTTGATGATGCCACCTGATGGCACACCCTTGATCATTGCCTCTAGAGGGTTGAAGCCAGTGACAGTAGCGCCTGTTGTCGTGCCACTGTTAGTGCCGCTGCTATTGCTATTGTTGCTGCTGACTGTGTTGTTGTTGCCCTTGATAGAGTCTTGTCCAACAACAGATTGTCTATTGTCGTTGTTGCCAGTTGTGTTACTACTACTATTACTACTACTATTTACAGACTTTGATGGTGCTACTGCTTTGTGCCAGCCTACTGATTGTACTCGCTCCCTTGACTCTGGTTGTTGCCATTGATGTTGTGGTGGTTGTGGTAGTTCATTCGATGACTCTTGGTTGTCTGTTGATGAAAGTGATAAAGAAGATGAGGATGGTGAGACGGTGACAGGTGAGGGTACTGGAGGTAGTGGATGTTTGGGTGGTGAGTGCTTGGACAACGATGATGATTGTTGTGGATGATGTGATGAGTGATGATGGCTAATCGATGACAGGTCAATGTCAATTCCAGCAAAGAGTGAGTCACTTGGTGTCGATGATGCACCGGGATGGTGAGAGGACGCCTGTGCAGCTGCCGTGTTGATTGGTGATGATACAAATGAGGAGGACTGGTGATCGTAGACATTGACCTTCTTGACCTTCTTGTCCTCGTTGATGATCTTTTGTGAGTTGGCCAACATGATGCGCCACTCTACGATTGTGTAGGCAATGTTGTCCACGGTGGACTCATAGTAGAAGGTGCGCTCCGATGCGTCTTCAATCTTTGCCAGCAGGGCCATGAACTCGATCCAGAGCAGAGAGATTGGTCCCAGTACGGTGCCGTCCTGTCTGAAGCGTGTGCGACCCACGACGGCGGTGGTCGTTCGACGTGCGCCAACAACGAGGTCGCGTTCCTCGCCATTGACCAATTGATTCTGATTGAACACGGGTGGTCTGCCGCCTATATCGCATATGGAGCGTTCGAGTAGTTGACGCTCCTTCTCGATGAAGGCTGAGAAGGAGGTCTGATGTGTCTCGATCAACATGAGACGCTCGGTGTCTGTTGTGGTGGTGTCTGATAGTGCACGCTCCAGTGCAAACTTCATGTTCTGGTACTGTCTGTCCATGGTGAGCAGGGCTTCTGCCACGGGCAGAATCTGCACGTTGACCTTTGTCAAGTTGAGCGCTGACAGATCGTAGAAGTTGTTCTCCGTATTGAACGTGGGCTTGACATGTGGGAGGAATGCAATGGACAACCATTCGTCACAGTATGCGCTGTGAAGCGTTGAGAATGTTCCATAGGAGTCCATTTACTATCTAGATAGGATTTGTGTGAGGCACTCCTCTCTGTCTGTGTCCTCTGTGTTGAGATTTGTGATCAATGATCTTTCCAATGGCTTGAAAGTGGGGTCATGCCTCCCACACTCATCAAGAATCTTTGAAAATGATCATTTTTTGAACTTCCTTTAGTTTGAAACTTGAGGTTTATCTCTGAACGATTGGTCCCAATATTAGTTTGATTAAATAGGTTGAAAGACCAATGGATATATCATTTTATTTGATCTTTCAGTGATTAATGATTGATTATGATAGGATCTTGGCTGATCAAATTAAATTAATTTGATTATTTAAGTGACTTCCAAGGCCAAAGGATTTACAAATCAATAATATAATTAATTCAATCTATCAGAGATATATAATAATAATAATACCAAATAATAATAATACAATGTTTAAATTGATAGCTATAATTGTCACTTTAATGTTTGTCATGTCGACAACTACCAACATGGTTGATGCCCAACAACATGTTAACCCAATCTGGTGGGCCAGTTATTGTGATGCCAACAATAATACCATTGTCAAGTGTCCAACACCATCCACCTACAACTGGTTGGCTTACGAGCAAATGAACGGCAACACCTGCTACAACTACACCGACACATGTAATGACAAGCCCACTGCCCTCGTCGCTCTCAGACTCATCAGCAACAACGGAAAGACCGCCCAATTTAGCACCTACAAGAACATAACCTCCTGTGTCAACAATGAACCAGCTGACTTTGTCATGACAACCACCTGTAATTCCTGCGACCCCAAGGATGGCAACACCTTGTTGTGCACACTCTCCAACTCTGCCTCTACATTGGTCTCCTTTGGAGTGATCACCATTGTTGGTGTCGTGTCCACCATGCTTTTCCTCTAATCAATGATCCAGTTCAATGATTGATATTCAATAAATATTCACCAAGTGCTATTGAATTGATCCAAATATTTATGTTTGTTCCAACTTGTTTATCAGTGTTGTACATTGTGTGATCACCTTAATATGTCCTGGTTGACCAGCCATTGCTATCATGTGCTTGAGTATTCTTACAAGTGATGTTGGTTCCATTGTCCTCCAGAGTATGCCATGATCATCATTGTTATTATCATTCGAACATTCAAATAGGTAACCAATTAGTTCATATCGATTGTTTGATGCTGCCTTTCCAAGAGCCTTCAATGATGGTATCAATGGTTGCTTTGAATGTTTCGTGATCACTTTGAGTGTATCGATTCTTCCTTCTTCACAGGCCTGGTCGATCACTTTTTGGAGGTACAAGGGAAGGAAGATCTTAAGACTGGAAATGATATATTTGACAGGAGATGGGTCTGTGATTATCATTAGATCATCGGTCACCCTGTGACGGAACATCTTGAGAATGAACTTGGTGACCTTTGTGTGTCCTCTCGCAAAACTTGCCTTTAGCATCCTATTGATCAACAATTGTTTGGAATAACTAATGTGATGGAATTTGAATTTGATCCACTTGGCCATCTTGGTCATGACCAGGTTGAAGAGTGTGCGAGAGCCAGTGCCAGCAGCTGCCACCAGTACTTTGTCCAACCTGCGTGAGTTTTGGTTGATAGTAGCACCAGTTAGCGTGCGTTCGATGAACTGTCCAACAAGAGCTCTTGTCAAACCTCTTGTGGGCATGGCCAACGAATCCATCAACTGACCAAGGTCCTCAGGTTCCAAGACTTTAAAGCTCTCATGCTTGGACAACACAGTGACAATGTCAAGATTGAGTTGTGCCCACCACTCCTTGGTGTTCTCACTCTGGACTTTGCCATTGACGTCAAAGTATGTGACTGGAGGGTCAAGGACTGTGGTGGTACTATCCAGTATCATGTTGACAGTGTGTAGGTCACCAACTATAGCTGCAGTGCCCAGTGTTAATCGATAGTTGGTCTTGAATTGATCTCGATTGCGGTGTAGCATATTGATTATTGATCGGTCCTTTGCAATAACAGCACGAGCCATCACATACTCAAAGTCACACACACAGTTATGATGTACCATCAATGTATCAAGTAGTTTGATTGATATATAACTATGATGTACATCACTGATAGTGATCCGATCATCACTGCCTGTTGTATTCGGTAGCCCCAAGATAAAGCGTACCGATTCCAAGTGCTCCTTTTCCAATGCATACTTTAGTACATTCAGGTGATACAATGCTGATTCAGGGTAGTGTGTCATTATCCATTTGGCCATCTCAATGTGTCCGTGTAAGATCGCCTTTGTGAATCCAGCTCTCCAATCAATGTATGTGTCGGTTGGAGGAATGATTGAAAGGAGTACAACGAGCATATCTACATTGCCACCTGTGCAACATGCTAAGAATAGTGATTGAGCGTCTCGTCGCTGAAGGACTGCCTGAGCGATATCTGTTCCTGACTTTGTAAGATGTTGATTGAATGACTCAATAATGAATAGGAGTACCGCCATGTGATTGAAAGTCAGTGCTTCCACGAGAACATAGATAAGTAGGCCAATGTAGTCAGTTGGGTCAAATGTACATTGAACCATCAATTGAACCATTTCTAGAGCCCATGATTGAGACAGCCATGCACCGATGCTTAATGTTGGTATCGTGTTGACTGTTATGAGAGGTAGTAGCTTGCGCAGCTTACTTGGATGTTTGAGCTTCACCAACTCATTGCCAGTAAATGTAAATTGGGTTCTATGTGTGAGTGACAGTAGCTCATCAACCATTCGTTCCCATCCATTATCAGTACATTGTAGGATACGAAGTAGAATCATCTTGTTACTTGAGTCTCTTTGGTCTCTTGACTGTGTGGGACTTTCGACCTCAGTATCATCATAGTCAAATATCGACATGTTGGTGTTGGCGAGCAGAGTGTCCAATGATCTTTGGTCACACTGACCAAGCGCCAGCTCAATCAGCACTGTGTTGTTGGGAGGTAGGGTAACAGATTGAAATGACTTGAGGAACCATTCGGTAACACCACATTTGAGGTATCTTTCAAGTGAATGATCTGATTGTAATTGTCTGCCCTTGAAGGACTTGTAGCCAAGTGAGTTATGTATAGCTGTGACAAAGGACAATACGATGAGGCAAAGTCGTTTGTTTCTGAACACACGGTGGAATGCTCCGTCCATCTCTGGATGAGAATAGATCAGAGTTGTCAATGGTCGTGCTGGAGGAGATGGTGTCGCGCTATAAGATGTACGACTGACTCTGTTAGTCTTGTATTGTGGATACATGTATAATTGGTTCAAACATACCTTTGTTGACACAATCTAATGATTCTTGAATATCCATGTTCATAGGAAACGTTGAGGATTGATTGGATTGTTCTCTGATAGTGTTGTTGGGGTATGAATGGTGACCTCAAGATGTACTCCAATGATCTGATTGCATTGTTCCTAGCGGCCAACTCCAATGTTCTTAGATTGATCTGAGTTGGAGTGATGTTTGTAATGTTACACAATACATCAATGTAATGCGGCTTGTCATTGGTCAATGCCTCATTGACGATGCCTTTGTAAAACTCCATCTCGATCAGGTCCGCATGTAGTCCAACGACGTATTCAAACACATCCAAAGTGTTCCTAACAGCCACAATACAGAAGTAGCTATTCTTCTTCTTGTAGCGCATATACATGGTGACTGCTTTGAGTGAACCAATAGCCAATACTGTTCGCTCCAACCTCTGCTTCTTCATGTGGCCTGTTAGACAGTATCCATGTGGATATTGGTCGATTGATTTGCCAAAGCCTTGCTCCTCCAACAGCAACTCCATCATCTCTACATTGCCATTCTTGATCGCAGTTGTGACACAGTTCTTTGAGTAGGGCGTTGATAAATGACTATGTATCGCTCTCATTATTGTCACAGAGAACTCTGATGCCAAGTCCATTGCAACGATACAAGGTGTTGTTGTGACTATATTGCAATGGCGAATGAAACATGCGGCCAACTCCTCAGTCATTGGGCTACTTGGCTGCCGAGCGGCCATGATGATATATTTGATTGACTTCTGATCCAGCTGTAGCAATGGACATACATCTTGACTTGAGAGGTATGCCGCGATGGCAGGGGACATGAGATGCCAGACTTCTTCATCCATTTCAAATGGTTCAGTCATGGATTCGACCATTATACAAACAGTGTGTAGATCATCATTCTTCACAGCACATTTTAATCGAACATTGATTGATTTCCTTATTGAGGTCTTGATCAACTGTGGCAGGTCAAGGTCAGGGAGCTGAATAATATCACTATTACAATTATTGATTAGTTCAACATGTCCATTGTCAGCAGCAGTCTTGTAGACCTCGGCATCAATTGCAACTTTGGACTGTGTATGAATGCATCGAAGAAGAGCAATGTCACCGACTGAGGCACAATGAGTATAACATTTGTTCACGTGCGCAACGAGTATTGACTCAAGGCTCGGTGGGACATTGCTAAGTAGGTAGACAACACTGTCGACCAATCTGGATTCCGTTGAACTCCTCAAGGCCTCTCTCCATAAACATTCGTATGCTTGGTTGAACTCCACATGAAGGAGCTTGAGAATGTTGACATTGACACCTGGTCGTATTAGCTTCCTTGGAGAGACTTGGACATTATCCGATAACATAATGGTGGAGTGCTGTAGGAACACTCTAATGAATTGCTCATTGGCACTATCGACCAATGCAATCAATGTATCTACCGGTGTGACAATTGATCGATGACCAATCATTGATTGATACGTTTGTAACATATCAACATTCCTATTCCTTATTATTAAATGTATTATATTATTACTACTATTATTATTATTATCGGCAACTAATGGTAATAACATGTTGGTGTTGTTATACAAGTAATTGAATACTACTATATTGTTGTACTTGATTGCATGGTATAGTAATGTGTAGTTGAGTGGATAAACAGAAGATTCAACGATGTTCTCAAACTCTTTGATAAAGTATTGATTGGCATTGTACTTTATCATCTGTTTAAGGTCACCATTGTCAAGTAACTCTTTGCCTTTGATCACCACTGGTCCATCATCATCACCATCCACAATTGGATACAACAACAGGCTGTTGTTGGTCAACCTTTGATTATGATAATCACTGACAAGTTTAAATATATGCTCACAGAGTGATCTATTACTAAACACCTCTTGTATTACTATTACTGTATTGCTATGCATGTTGTTTTGGTGTGTCAATGACTTCGAGTTGCTCTCTTGTTGGTCACTCAATCCAATGATTAGGTACTTTGTGAAGTTCTTGAGATTGAACAAGTAAAAACAAGCTTTGAATTACCACACCCCACTGTTGCTGGGTGAACATTGTCAACAACAACATCGCACTACATATATGCGTTCGTATCTCTACAACACTCATAAATAACTCACAACGCTTTTCCAATCATCGCCTCGCCTGTGCAATACAACACAATACATAATTAGGGGTTTGTATTGATGGGGTTGACCAGAAATGCCATTCACACTTGTGATTTTAGAAGGCAAGTAAGTAGTAGAGTGGTAGCTTAGTGATACCACACACTAATATTACTACTAACGAGCATTTAAGCCACGCATTCTACATTAGATACTAAAGTGATCAGCAGAGGCAAATGAGAGAGGGTACTCTTGTATGTTGTTCATCGATGTAAATTAATATGATGATCCAGGAGGATGACGGTAATTTATATGTGGACCCAATCAATATTTTATACATCAACATATATATAACATATAATAATAATCTAAAAAAAAAATTTTCTTTAGTCGTACTGTTAGCCCAACCTCCACCATTCCTCAAACCACCACTGCCTCTACTGTTGCTACAACAACCTCCCATCCACCAACCTCTACAACAGCTACGACTGGCACACCCCCAACAACATCAACAACAGCATCAACAACCAGTACCCCAACGCCAAGTCCAAAGCCATTGAACCTGACCCTCTTTGGTTTCATTGATTACAACAAGGATGGTAAAAAGGAGACTAGTGAGCCATGGGCTTGGGGCGGCCAAGGTACTTTGACCACGGAGGATGGAACTGTCCTGTCCACATTCACCTCGACCAATGGCAAGGATGGAGTCAAGTACACACTCTACCCAGGTCGCTACTGTCTCACCTTGAAGTACCGTAACGCAGACTACTCTCGGACCTCTGGGCAAAGACAACAAGTACAGCACCGACAAGCCCAAGCACTGCTTCGACCTCAACAAGAACACTGCCCCATCTGGAACCTTGACCGAGTACGTTGGATTTGTCCCAGTGAAGCCTCCCAAATTAAAGTTGTTTGCCTTTGACGACACCAATAACAAGAATGGAGTCCAGGATCCAGGCGAGCAATCAGTTGTTGGTGGAGTTGGTTCTCTCACCAAACCAGACGGTACCATTGTCAGGAACATGCTACCGGTAATGTACTAAAGACAATCGACGGCACCAATGGAGAGAATGGAGTCACCTTTACTGACCTGCCATTTGGAAGCTATGGGCTACCGTGACAACACCTTTAAGGTTGGCCCACTCGGTACCTCTGGCACTGAGAAGGACAACAAGATCGACCCAGCCACCGGAAAGTACTGCTTTGAGTACAACGCCCAAACACTCAACGACAAAGGATTCATGGTTGTCCAAGTAGGATATGTTTCAACTGTCAAGCCCAAGATCCACCTCTACGCTTTTGAGGACCACAACAAGGATGGTACACAGAACAACAAGGATCAGTTCGCCTTTGGAGGTCGCGGTAACTTGACCAAGGCCCGATGGTACTGTTCTCCTGTCATTCTCATCCACTAACGGAGCTGCTGGTGTCACCTTTGAGAACCTTGACTATGGCGACTACTGTTTCCACACCGACTACAGGAATTCCAACTACAAGGTCGGTCCACTCGGAACCACCGGCACCGTAAATGACAACAAGATCGATCCCACCAGCAACACCTACTGCTTCACATTCAATGACAAGTCACACAATGACAAGGTAGAGATGATCGTCCAAGTTGGATTTGTCCGTACCACCAAACCATCAGTGTGGCTCTACGCCTTTGAGGACCACAACAAGGACGGCATCCAGAACAACAAGGATCAGAATGCCTTTGGCGGTCGTGGCAACTTGACAAAGGCTGATGGCACCGTCGTTCAAACATTCTCTTCGACCAATGGAAACAAGGGTGTCCACTTCACTGACCTTGATGATGGAGAGTATTGTCTCAACGTTGACTACAAGAATGACAACTACAAGGTTGGTCCACTCGGCACCAGCGGAGCCAAGATCAACAACATCGACCCTGCCACCAACAAGCATTGCTTCACCATCAATGAGGAATCTCCAACAAACGACAAGGGCGAGCTTTTGTTCCATGTTGGATTCGTGAAAATTGTAAAGCCCAGGTTGAATCCAACAAGAATGGAGAGGACAATACCGGTGAGCCATATATATATGGCGCTCGTGGAAACTTGACCAACTCTGCTGGAACAGTCCTCAAGTCCTTTGACTCGACCAACGGTGCGAATGGAGTTGACTTTGGAACTTTGGACGATGGTGACTACTGTCTCAACGTTGACTACAAGAACAATCTCTACAAGATTGGACCACTTGGAACCACTGGCACCAACAAGGACAACAAGATCGATCCCACCACCAACAAGTACTGCTTCACCATAAACGAGGGAACCAATGTCAACTCCAAGGGTGAAGTGATCGTCAGAGTTGGTATTGAGCCCATCGTCCCAATCAAGTTGAAGCTCTTCTCCTTCTGGGACAAGAACAGAAATGGAGTCATGGACACTGGGGATGAGTACATCAGTAAAGCTCTTGGAAATCTGACAACGGATGGTGCTGTGGTCAAGTCCTTCACTGACTCTGGTGGTAACTCGGGTGTTACCTACAGTGGATTGGATGAGAATGGTGAATACTGCCTAACAATGGGCTATTACAACGCTACCTTGGACATTGGACCACTTGGCACCACAGGAACTGACAAGGACAACAAGATTGATCTTCTTGAACGATCAAAATGTGAACGACAAGAACGAGCTGATCATCTATGCTGGCTACGCAAATCCTGACACTCTCCAACTCTATGCCTTTGTTGATTCAAACAAGAATGGAGTGTACGACTCTGGCGACGTTTATGTTGACCGTGGTCGTGGAAACCTCACCAGAGCTGACGGTACAAAGGTAAAGGCATTCACCGCCACAGGTGGATCCAATGGAGTGAACTTTGGCGCTATAGTTCACTCCATTGGATCGATCCAAAGACTGGCAAGTACTGCTTCACCTTCCCCACAGGTACCCTCAACAACAAAGGTCAGATGGTTATCTTTGCTGGTTACACCAAGTAACCTTTGAATAAATAATGACAGTTGATCAATCTTCCTGTCCTGTCATATTTATCAATCAAACATTCACACTTTGGTCAAACGACAAACAGTTAAATATCATTATATATATATAGAATAGAGATAATATGTACTCTAAAGATTATAGATCATTGATTACTCTTGTGATTGGTGATGAATCTCTAATTAGACTGATACTTAAACATGTTAGTAATATTCACATTCGTCTCATTGATGAAGATGGGTCAACAACGAATGGAGAGCATAGAATAGAGGACATGGTCATCAAGGGCAAGACATTATTGGCCAATGGTGATCTCAAACAGATGATTAGGTATCATGCCAATCAATACTTTATCAAAGAGTATGATAGAGTCTGTGGTCACTATCCATACAACGATACATTGCTCGGTCTAGCAATCAAGTACAACAATAGAACAATATTCAATCATCTACTCAACAATACCAACATGTCATTACCAATCGATAACAATAAGATCACAAAGGAAATACTGTCACTTTACAACAAGAATGAGAGTTCGAGAGACTTGACTCACTCACTATTGAGATACATCGTCAACAATGGCAACTATGATATGTTGGTTGCCTACATTGAGATGACAGCACATCAATCATTTGCAATCAGTGAATCACAGTTGTGTCGAGCAATTGCACATGGCAACGTCTCCTTGGTCCGCTTGCTACTCAAACATACCAATATTTGTTCAAGTGAAAAATGGAGTTACTTCCTGGAGATCAGATCATCATCAACAACAGATATCAATCTTGACATGCTCACAATGCTTCACGAGGAGTTTGGATACCTTGATCGTCCAGTACTCTGGTCATCACTCTTTGTTCATGCTACGATACATAATCAAGTATCATGTGTCATGTACATTCTAGAGCTCATTCCCAATGAGGTCACAACAGAGAGGTTGATAGAGTGCATGGCTTATGTGATGGCAAAGTGCATGGGCAGTAATGCATTTCCAATCATCGTTAACCGACTCAAGAGACACAAGAGTCACGTTACGTTTTTCAAACAACTTTGCAAAAACAGGATGGTCCTTGGTTGGGCACTCTCCAATGGTCGTCTGGATATGGTCAACTTCATCCTTGGTGAACTGGATGGTGACATGCACGTACAAGAGGTGGACTCTATACACAAGAGTTTGGCAACATCTGATGAGCTGTTCAAACGTTTGGAGCAACATCGCTTGGTCTTGTTAAACGTTGCGCCACTCAGTACCAAACAGTCAAACCTAATCAATTACACATTGGAGAGCAAGAGTATCTTGATGAATGCAATCTACAATGACGACATTGATCAAGTAACGAGGATATTGGAGAGAATCAAACACTCATCAACAACAAAGATCACTTTGGGAGATGGTGAGAGTGAGAGGTTGTGGCATCGTATGTCCCAGTCATTGGGAAAGCATCTTGGCAGCCAGGACCAAATCCCTTTTGATCTGTCAGACAAGGACTTTAAAGCCATTATTGATTCAATTGGTGAAGAGAACAGCAGAATGAGCGAGGACGTTGCCAAGTTGTTTATATCCAAGCACATTACTGTCAGATCATGGGCAATCAAAGAATATGGAATGATTCAATCTGCAAGGATATCAATATCATTCATGGAGATGATTAAGTCCCTATACACTTTGGAGTATGGTCGTGATTGTCTTGCCATGGCAATCCAGCATGGTTGTAAGGAGACTATTCCACACTTGGTCCAGTACATTGGCGAAGGAGTGCCCAAACACAATTTAAAAGTACTCGAAGCAATTGGACAGGTGTTGTCAAAAGGTTCATTGGCTGATGTCAAATATCTGTTTGAACATCTACCAGAGAAGTTCATCAAACAACTTCTGTTCTACATCAACGCCATCGAGAACACCATTGAGGTGTTTGAGTTTGTACTCGAAACCTGGTACTCTTTGGAAATGGACGGACAGGCATGGCAGCAGCTCATCGATGAGGCATACATCAAGAATAGTGTACATGTCGTTCAATGGATGAATCATCATCATCCATCATACTTGCCCAACACTCGTACACTTCAGATTGCTGCATCAAAGAATGCCTTTGGCTCGCTCCAATATTACTATGATCACCAGGCGCCATCGCTCAATCTGCCAACGCATCATCTGTTGAGGTCACTACACTCAATCATGAATGTGGCATACACCCATGGACACACTCGAATCATTCACTTGTGTCACTCAAACATCATTATCTTGGAGAAGATCAACAAGCAGTAAGTATTAATGACATCCAGACTTGTACATACGAACTTACCATCATCCAGTAATCAATCAAACGATATACTTGAGAGTCAAATCGTCGCCCCTTCACACGACAATGATAGCTCATTCCACTCTGTATTCAGGAACAAGCTATTATGTAGATATATATTCAATCATGTACATGATATTCACATCAGTGTACTAGGAGTACCAGCCATTTGTTCGATCAAAGGTGGAGAGTTGTTATCAAGACATTCACTTCGACAGTATCTCAAGTACGGCGCTACAGATTTCTTCAACAAGTCGTTCCAAACAGTATCAGAGTCATACCCATTCAACACTCAACTACTCATCGATTCAATGTACCTCTACGACATGAGAGCAACAGACAACATTTTGGGTAATCACCAAATGTCACCTCGCTATGATGATGGCTCACATATTTATGTGATGAAGTTCATCGTAGAGTTCCTGTCTTGTTCACATCCACTTGAATGGAAGAGAAGGTTGGAGTTCTTTGCCATCACATTCCCAACATACCTGAATGTCGACTCCATCTTGTCAATAGCCAACTGTCCCACCACCCTACAACAGTTGCATCAGATCAGTATTGACGCTGGCTTGGGAACGATCATGGTGGATAGTGACTTCCCACGATGGGAGAAGTCCAACCAGGCACTCGATTTCCTCAAGGCATTCCACAAGCTATCAATGGCTGGTAATCTATTCTGGATCACTGCGCTCAATCAAGCAGTTAGGAGCAATCTATTGCTAATAGTTCGATACATTCTGGACAACATCATTGACATCAACGATGCCCCGCCAGCCAACCATTCAAGGACCGGTGACATTTGTACCAAGTTTGATGGAGCGCCTGATGGAGGACCACTCTCAACCGCCTTGTTCAAACGTTGTGGTGCAAGTGGTAGCTTGCAGATGCTCGACTTGTTGTTGACATATGTCCCAGGTCAATCTTTGGTCGATGCATATCAACAAGCATCACTACATGGACACATCAATTTGGTCAAGACTCTATATAACAAGATCAAACAACAGGTACCGCCTGTCAATCACGAGTTCTCACATCGCAATCTCAATGGTGTATTGAAACATGGACAATTGGGTGTTGCACACTTTATGTTGGACACACCATTCGATATTGAGAATGGCGAACCAATGTTGGAAATCAGTGACATTCATCCTGATATACTATCCACTGGTCTACTTATGCGATTGATCAATAATGTACAACTACGATGCAGGTTCAACAATGTAATGGGCAGTGCAATACAATCTCACAAACAAGATTGTATTGACTTGTTGATTGACCTAAGATCAAGAGGTCATCCAATATTGTTTGATCGATTGTCGACATTGGAGGCAGCAGAGAAGGTTGGAGACATCATCACACCTGGCAGAGTACTCCACTACACAGATGGCAAACTATTCATGAGGATTGCTGCAGCAAACTCACTTGAACTAATCAAGCAGGTACATCAACTGTATCCAAATGATGTTGCCAATTTCCTTGAAGTTGGTATCAATGCATGTGCGATCAGAGGTGATCTCGAGTCGATGGAGTATCTTCACTCATTACGTGGAGATCAACGTACATCTGGATGGGATTGTCAAAGTCGTGATCCAGCAACCATGTCATTCCTCATTGACAATGGATACACAAGTCATGAGGGTAATTTACTTGATAATGCATGTAAACGTGGAGATCTTCAGATCGTACAAGTACTACATCATAAGCTCAAACTGGTACCATCAATGAATAGTTTAGCAGAGGCTGCCAAGAACAATCATCTCAATGTTATCAAGTATTTCTTCAACTATGAAGTATCATCATCACTCAGACATACAATGGAACCAAACCATCTCATTCGAACACTCATCACAATAAGACATTATGCATATGATAGTGGTAACATCAATATCATCAACTTTTGTAATAATACAATCTCAGATATTGCTAGCTTGGAACTATTCCAATAAACCCAGATATTTATTTTTTACAAGAATGATTTGAATCAAAAAATCTGATCAAAACGACACCATCGTAACCCCACCACTTCAATTTTCATTTCACAACACAGATAATGAACAAACAAATAATCATTTTTAACATATTTAGTAACAAGTCTCTCTGTGAGAGGATCTTCAAACATGTTAGTGATATCCATGTTGATTTGATCAATAACAGAGTGATCAAATCAGTGATCAAGGGCAAGGAGTTGTTGGCCGATGGCCATCTTGAACAAATGCTACGGTACAATGCCACTCAATACTTTATCAATCATTATGATCAAGTTGCCAAAGACTACCCACTCAATGACTCTCTGTTGTCCGACGCAATCCAGTACAACAACATAGTAGTATTCAAACATCTACTCAACAACACAAACATGTCAGTCTTATCTTTTGGCACTAGCTCAATCAATATCAACTTGGCCAAGTCGGGATCAATAGAGATGCTCCAGACCTACCTTGATATGACAGGCCACAGACCATTGTCAAAGGTTACATGTCGCAATATCTTGATGGCCGTCAACACTGGCAATGAAGAGTTTGTCAAACTATTTCTTCAGAACATTGTAATTGATCAAGAGAGCGGAGGTTTGAATATGAAGAACAAAGGCGTCACGACAGTCAGCATGATCAAGCTGGTATACTCGTATATTGGACATATACGTGGTATTTGGAAAGATCTATTGGTACATTCAGTGAAATGTAACATGTTGGACAGTGTACAATATCTATTCAGCATTAATGATAACTTCGATCAGAATACAATCAAAGAACTTATAGAAAAAACTGGTGCAAGAGGATATATTGATATCTTTTGTATACTTGAACAAAATCTCGAAGTCAAGAAGGAGAATGCCACCCAATCTCGCTACAAGAAGAGCCCGGAGCCAATCTGTCTATCATTGGCAATAAGAGGTGCTGCCACTAATGGACACATTCACTTTATCAAGTACCTCCATCAACATTTTAATGGAGATGGAACACTATTCGATCAATCAATTCTTAATATTGCATTGGAGTCTGGACATCTCAATGTCGCCAACCTCATCCCCAATGAGTTGTCGGATACCCCCATACAGGAGGTACCACTCACCGTCAACTTGTTGCCATATCAATCATTCATCCAAAGCTATCTGGAACATCCTAGAGTGAAATGGTCATTCACAATGCATGAATTTGATACACTCATGATCCAACAATCACTACGGACCACTGTTCTCGAGGCCATCAGCAATGACAACATCATAACAGTCAAGGATATCCTACCGAGATGTAATCTTTTAGACCTAGGTCTTGACCTTGTCATGGATCATAACATATGGAGAAGAATGTCCAATGAGATGGGCATGCTCATTGCCAGTCAGACACATCAACCCTTACTCCTAATACACAATGACTTGGAGGATATGATCTGTGCCATTGGACATAGTGATAGTAAGATGACAGAGTTGGTAATCAAGACCTTTGTAATCAACAATCACTTTGGCGCTGGACTAAGCAAGGAATCATCTAGGACAACCTCAACCGCACTGGTATGTGCTGCTGGTGTATCACTGTCCCTCATGCAGTTCATCAAAGAGCAGACTCAAGCATTATATTCAAAAAATTGTCTGGCAAGTGCAATCAGCAATGGTATCATTGAGAACATCAACTTTCTAAGTGAACCATCCCTCAGAACTAGCTATGGTTATTGGAAAGATGACGAGACATCACCATTGATCTATGCTGTAAAGACTTGTTTGAACGATCACCCATTAGAGGCTGCCCGCGCCACCTTTGATACAATGGGTATTGACTACAATGGTCGTGTTAATGTCAAACATGCCATGGACAATGACGACAAACAAGTATTTGAACTGGCACTCTCTCGATATAATGATCATCTTTATCCAAGATTCCTATCACAGTTACTCAGACAAGCATGTGAATCAAATTATACAGAGACCATTCAATCACTTTACAAACTCTACAACATTCAACCAAGTCTTGCTCATTTGGAAGCGGCTGCATCTATCAATTCATTCAAAGTATTGGAGTTCATCCTTGTCACTTGGTCATCATCAAACTTCATCACAACATTGTCCAAACCAGACAGACTCAGGACACTGCATTCTATCCTCCACATTGCCTATGATCAAGGATATGTCAACATCATCAGATTATGTAACACCATAATCAATGACATCAATAACGATAAGAAGAGGTAAATATACTATAAATAGATATAGACAATCAAACATACTAACATCCACAACAAACAGGAAACAATCAGATATTGATGAGGTTGAACACCAACCACTACTTGTACCATCATCACCAAGAATGGACAATGCACTACATACAGTGTTTAGGGACAAAAGATTGTGTAGGATCATATTGGCAATGGTACCTTATGTATACAGGGCATTTGGAATCAAAGGAAGTCAACTGATCAAAGGTGGAAAGTTGTTGGCAAAGGATTCATTGGTCAAATACATCAAGTATGGAGCAACTGAATGGTTCATCAAGTCGTACAACACAGTCTCCAACGCATATCCTCACAATCATTCACTATTGGAGGCAGCAATCGAACGACCTGACATTAGAATATTCGATACATTATTACAGTCCAACTATAATATATCATTGACTGATACAGATAATGATGTTAACGAGATCAAAGACATATACAGTACCATACCAGATGAGGTAAATTATCAACCCTATAATGTCCAACTTACACTATTGATCAAAGGAATATCAAGATGTCAGATCGATGGATGGGAGCGAATACTAGACATGTACTTGGCACATGTAGAACAGGCATGACTGGCATCGATGGTGACATGTTGACAGAGGCACAACATCCAGCATTGCTCATCAAGTTGATCAGTATCAGTACCACCATCCCAACAAACATTACACCATGCACCAGAGAGGGGAATTCAAGAATACTCAACGACTGGATCAACAATCCGTTTGCCAAGGAATTGATTCAAGTAATGCTGCAACTTAGATTGATATCAGATGTCATTTGGAAGCCACTTCTCAAGAAGTCAATCAACAACATCAACAATATCCAATTATCATTATGGCTATTGGATCAATTTGGACCTAAACTATCCAAAGAGGATATCATCTTACACTATGGCGCATTGGGACAACATGAGCTCTTGGACAAGTCACTGGAGGATATCAGAATCAATGATGTAGAATTATTCAACGACAGATCATTCATGGAGAAGCTATATAGACGAGTTAACAAGCGTGGACATATAGAATTGGCCAAGAAGATGCATCGTATCATATCATCCATGATCAATCAAGATCAAGAACACCCACCTTTCAAGTCATATGGCAATATTGGAAGAGTATTGGAGGCTGGACACTTGGATATGGCACTCTACATGCTTGAAACTGGGACACAAACTACTGGAATGGACATGATGCGACAAGGCGATGATGATGGTGATGCAGTTGGTGGACCAGTGATAGTGAGTGATATACATCATGATATATTATCAATCTCTCTTCTCGAGATGCTACATTCACACCCTGATATCATTGTAAACAGTTTTAGCAGTGTGATGGCACGTGCTGTACTCATTGGCAACAGAGATATAATTGATTGGTTGGCCAGTCATGATACAAGATTGTCCTGGATCAACTATCCATTGGTACTTGGTACAGCGATTATCGCTGGCGATATCATAACCACCAAGATGGTATTGGACCATCCAGAGAGTCGATACTATTCAGGCGGTTTGACATGTCTCCAAATAGATGACCTTGAAGTGCCTTTCTGGACCATGGTTGATCCAGCAGTTGGATTACTTCTTACTCAACATCCAAAGACCAGTTCCAAAGTATGGATTAGTGTTGGTGATATACACGAAATCATCAAGGCCGTTGGAAGACCAGGCAGCAAGATGACGGAAGAAGTAGCCTGTTATTTCATCCGAAGCTCATTGACACAAGAGGATTTGGATACAAAGGAGATCCCAACACTTCTAAAGTGTGCAGCATCAGCGTCGTTCAATGTATTCAAGGAGGTGCATCGTATATTCAATCAACTCCCACCATACATGTATACTGATATCATGCCAGATTGTATCAAACGCAAGGACTTGGAATTAATTGAATATATACTGGACATTCGTGGCACTAAACCTCCAGCTCGAACAATGATACGCAAAGGTACCATTCAACTACTTGAACCAGGTCTTATATCACTATTTTTGTCAACAAAGGCATAATAGAGATGAACGAGAATATGGTACTTCGATTGCTCTCTACTGCATACTCTAGGGGCAGGTTGGACACTGTTGACTTTATCATCAATGAGTACACTACTTATTATGATCAACAACAAGGTGATAACAACAAAAACAACAACAGTATACCAATATTGTCATGGATGCCATCTATCAAATCATTGTGCTTGGCTGCCAGAGGTAATCACTTGGAGGTTATCAAACGACTACTTGGTACTGATCTCTCTCAACTTTGGCAACGAATGATCAAGCAACCAATCCACTTGGTACGACTTCTCAAGCAACTCAGATCATATGCATGTATAAATGGTAACATCAACATAATCAGATTAATCGATCAACGATTGGTAACGTTACAAGGTCCAAAATAAACTTGATCAATGTCGATGATCACACACTCAGAATCAATCAATCAGATAAAGTGTAGTTATATCCTTTATATTATTATATTTATTATCTTTGTTATAATCCACATACTCTTGCCACTCTCTTGATGTTGTTGACACGAGTGACACCTCTCTGGACAATGGGACCGAGTAATCCTATTTGTCGTAGAGGGATACGACGAGCCTTACTGGCCAAATCAAACAGGTCCAGTGCCTTGAGACCCTTGGTAGCATAGGGTAGGAATCCAACCAACGAGAGGACAATTGAAAAGACATCATGACTCTCAATGGCCTCGGCCAACGAGATGAGATCGAGCGCTAGGAGTCCAGGTGTGGCGACCACTTTGATGACGTTGCCAATCATTGACAGGATAACAGAGCTGGAGCCCATCAATGCCTCACCAACAACGGGTATCATTGCGAGCATGGCGAAAGCAAACGATATCAAGATCTGCTTGACGATCGAGTCGTCAATCTCTTCACCAATGTCGCGTATGTCCCTCATGTTGGCGACTGTCTGGTGCATCAGGAACACCGAGATCTGTGTGGAGTCAATGACATCAAGGTCGTCAAAGAGGTGCAGCGCAGCTTGGGCGTCGAGGAAATCAGCCATCAACGAGAAGTCCCCCAGCATGGCTTGGATGGCGTCCTTGGGATTGGGGATGGTGTAGTCATCGTTAAAGTCTGGGAAGTCCTGATGAACGTGCGAGGAGAAGCAGACGCCGTTCACCTCGCAAGCACACCCAGCGCATGGACCACTCAGGTTTCTGAACACCATCCAGTTGGGCAGGATACCAATGGCCGCAGTGATGTCCAAGAGCAGTGCTGTCTTGTCGTAGATGTATGTGACTCGCGAGTTGGGCAAGTCAGTGATGGTCGTCAAGAACCGAGTGGAGTTGGCGTTCATGTAGGTCAGGTACCGCTCATACATGTTCAGAGAGGACTTCAGATGGGTGGCGTATATATCAAAGTACTTGTCATAGTCGGCAGCAAGGATGTTGTTATAATCCGTGATGTCCTTCCTGGCCAGTCGCGCCAACGCATCCACAAGAAGTTCGTTGGAACAGGCTGGGGGCGACATGGTTATTGGGATGTTGGGGTCGTCCGAGAGATCAATCATGTACTGACTGCAATCCACTTCACCAAGGTCAATAGGGTCGATAATAGGCAGTGGCTCATCATCAAGATCGACAGCCCACTCAACAGTTCCAGCAAGGCTCATTGATCGGGCAAGGTTGCGACGGTCCTCATTCTGCTCCCTGGTGGTGTACGATACCCAGTCTCTCTGGTTGTATGTGAGCACTTGCGACTTGGACAGGGCATCATAGCGGTTGCCTCTGACATTGTCACCCTTGGTGATGCTGATGATCTCTGAGAACGAGATGTAGCCGGCAGTCTGGGTGCACTCTCCTGGTGTGGCATGGCTCGTATACCGGTCGCCAGTGAAGGTACACTGCGGGCCATCACATGATGGATCAGATTGCTGGAACGAACGACCATACAGTCCAATGCCAAGAAGGATTTTGTTGGACGGCACACCAGCATGTGTGATCATGGCCAAGGCATCCATGGTCTCGGTCCAGTTGACGTGTGACTTTAGGTATGGACCAAGAGAGGGGATGCCAGCGTCCCATTGACCATGGATGTCGTACGTCATGTACACAATGTAGTCAAGATACTGTGACATCTCTGCAATCTTGAAGCCACGTAGGTACCAGAATGAGGCTGGGGCCGCAATGCTCAGTGACTTGCCTGCTGGGAGCACGGCGCGAAGGTCTCGAACAAAGTTGAGGTAGGTGTCAGTGTCACTGGCCCATCCACCAAGGTCACCAGCAGCAGGATACTCCCAATCAAAATCTACACCATCCAGTCCGTGGAGCGATAAGAACGAGACAAGGTTGGTGATGAAGGTCCGTCTGTTGGCGTCACTCAGAGTGTTTCTGAAGATTGGAAGTGTGTCATGGTCGGTGCTGAAACTCCAACCTCCAAAGGCCACGATTTTCTTGGTGTTGGTCAGAGCCTTGAAGCCCTCCCACTCGGCCATCACGGAGGGATCGACGTAGATCCTCATGCTCGAGTCTATCATGGCAAAGGCAAAGTGCATGTGCGTGTAGCCCTTGATGTTGACGGTACGTTGGAGCGAGGCAGTGTCCATGTTGAGACATGGACGATCAATGTTCCAGGACTCAAAGTAACCAACTTTGAGGAACTGTGATGGAGGACTCGAACTAACAAACTTCATATCACAGTTCTGGATGCATCCTGTCGTGCCTGGATTGTTGGTTGCACTGGTCTGGTTGCCACAGAACTCAGGGGTGATGCCACACCATCCCCATCGACTACAACATGCTTTGAGTGGACATGGGATACTGGTTCCGTTGCCAGTGGCAATGAGGCCACACTGGGCATTGGGCACTTTAGCTGGCACTGGTGGTGTTCCTGGACCAATACACATGGCCAATCCTACCTGCAGACTTGAGCATCCAAGCCAGCCCCAAGTACCCGAGTAGTTGGACGACTTGAGATTGAATGACTCGAGTAGGGCGATCGATGCACCAATTGGCCCGCCAATAGTTGAGCACAGGTCTCCACTCTTGACGTAGTAGGTGGTACAGGTTCCGTTGGCTTGAGGCTTGGGAATAAGTGATGGCAGAGTTCCTGTGGAGCAGCACACACGTTGTCCGACCTGGACGTTTGGACACGATGGATTGTAGAGTTGGAAGGCAGCCAGACTGAGCCCATTGCACATGTTGGTGGCAATGGATGAACAACTGTCACCAGACTTGACAGTGTAGGTGTAGCATGTTCCGTTAGGATAGGGAGGGAAACCAACCGGAGGGAGACCACCAGCATTACAACATATCTTCTGGCCAATGGTCAGGGTGCCACAGTTGAGACCTGGATTGGCAGCATTGAGGCTGGACTCACTCCAAGCGAGCTTACAACCAAGTGTCCATGCATTGTAACAAGAGTTCCAGGTACTGGATATTGTGACCGTGGTGCAGTACGCCTGTGTACCCTGGGCAATTAAAGTTAGGCCAATCAAATATAGTAACACATTCATCTTGAAAGTTTGGATTGATTGATTGAGTGAGTAAGTGATGAAATATTATTGGAAATGAGAGGAGATAATAACATACCATTTCAAATTAATAAATATCATATAAAGATAAATAATAGAATTGTGTTTAATTATTTTTAAGACAGGCAACTCAATAATGTTATATCTCTAACTATTTTGGTCAGGTGACATCCACCGCTAAACTTGTAAGATGGCTAAAGTATTTAGACCCTCTTGAATTACTATTATAATTAGTATCAATACCTTTTTACTATTATTAGGACAAAGGACATGGTATGTCTGAAGTGACACCCGTCTATTTTTGATTCGATCCCTATTTTTACATCAGCGACGTTTGGACCCAAGAATGATCGTCGGCTATTTTTGGTTTGAGAAATGAGTTGTACTCATTGATTGTCAATCACCTGATTGATTGTTTGATACCTTTTTAACAACAATATAATTAAGTCTCAATACTAATTAAGAAATCAAACAAAATTAATATTTTTTTATATTTATTTAAAGATAATAATAGATAGAAGGGAGAGAGAGATAGATAGAGAATGAATAGAAAGATTATGATATCACTGTTGGTGATATTGGTACTATTCTCACCAATGGTCGAGTGTTTTGGAGAGTCGGGAGTATGGGAGAGATTGTTCCTCTACTATTCATGGTTGGCCACTTTTGGAGAGGATGGAAAGAATTCATTCATTTCAAAGGACTCTAGGATCAGCTCACCACGAGCCACCACTCCCGGCACCCTTGGAGACCTCAAATTGTACATGGATTATATCCATAACAATAGAGGAAATCCCATACCAACCAACTTTAATGCAGACAGCACCAATATTGATGAATGGCGCAACTTCCTCCTTAAACGCTACACTGGTACCTCTGATGAGCCCTACGTCTTTGAGAGAATTGGAAAAGATGCATCCTATCCAACGGGCTCCCAGGGCCTTCGAAAGATCGTTGGTGAGGTCAAGAACTACCTAATCAACAAAGTCAAAAATGTAGATTCTTTGACTGCTTTCAGAACAAAGGCATTTAGCGCCTTGAAAAGTGCCAGGGAACTCAGGATATTCGAGATGTACAAGAACATGCTTACTGGACCCAATGGAGTTGGAATGCCTGACGCCCTTAAAGACTCGATCACAGCCACCAAATCGTTAGAGGAACTTGTGGAGAAACTTGACCGCGATGCTGACAAGATCATTAAAGCAATTGGCGAAGCATTCAATGGAGGTCAAGAGGCAAAGATTATCAACCTCAATGGAGAAGCACAGACCATCCCCTTTGACACTACATATCCTGCTCACAGGGATAACATCATAACATTCAAGATGCCACCAGGCTTTGATTGCCAGTGATCAATTGAGTTTGTCAATAAAGAGAGCTCTGAGTGTTTCGATAACTGTTGATTAACTCTCACATGTTTAAGTATTATCTTTATCTGTATCATGAGTGGGTGAGTGAATAGAAATGAACACTTTGTCCAAAGTGACCAAACTTTAAGTTTTCCAAATCATCCCAACTAGGAACTTCGAAATGAGGGCCAAACAACAACATCCATATTGTTAACAATTCAATCAATCATTCATTCATTCATCAAATATGGAGGTTATACATAGTAATAATAATAATAATAGTCAATTAGTAACAGAGGATGTTGTTGATCAACCTAGATACTTCTCAATACTCATTCTAGGTTATATTGTTGAGCTTATTGAGGAGAATGTAGATAGGTACTCAATGGCATTCGTTTGTAAACATTGGTATCGAAACAGACAATCATTCATTCGTTGGATATGGCAACCTCAAATGCATGTGCCAGAGTACCTGGAGGTGGACTACAACATCCTCAATTGCAAAGACAATGACAAGTTGGTCAAGCCACCTCCCAAGTTCAGACTCAAAGACCCCGCCACTGAGATACCCAGTGAACTCACCACGATGATCTATGACTTCAACGTATCGCCCACCAAAGGAATGATTCCTGACAGAGTTCAAACACTGGAGTTTGATTATGGCTTTCACAGTCCCATCCTACTTGGGTCACTGCCATCCAGTCTGACCACGCTCAAGTTTGCCTCACCCTTCAGACATGAGTTGCCCATTGGCGTGCTCCCCGCCAGTCTGACCAAACTCCAACTTGGCCAATCATACAATCATTCGATACCAATTGGCCTTCTTCCCTCGGGACTGAGAACATTGATTGTAGACTATCACTTCAATCAACCTATAATAGTTGGCTCGTTGCCACACGGACTGACCTCACTCAGGTTTGGCGCAGACTACAATCAACCCATTGCCATTGGTGCCCTTCCTCCCAGCCTGACATACCTCAAATTTGGTTGCTCTGAGAATCGTGACTATGATTCACCTGGCTCGTACAACCAACCATTCGTCGCTGGCGCATTGCCGCCAAACCTCAGGACCCTACGGTTTGGTCGTAACTACAACCAACCATTCCCTCGAGGTGTTCTCCCAACTAGTCTAACATCAATGACGGTGTGGGACTCGTACGGTCATCCAATGGATAATGGATCAATTCCTCCATCAGTGACACGTCTCCAGATTCACAATGACTCTCTGAGATTCAATATCCCGAGCTCGATCACTGATCTTACGCTGGTCAAGTGCTTCTGGAAGCCCAAGCCACTACCAACCTCAATCAAACATTTCCATTTGGTTGGTGGATGTCATCCAGAAAGAGGAAAGGACTTCTATCGTGACTTCCTCTACTCATTGCTAAGTTCCAGTCGCTATCCAATCGCCAGATTGGCTACATTTACCATATCATTCTCTGAACAATCATCAATTGCTCTTAGAAACATCCAGCTTCGAGCACTTGGTGATGGTAAACACTTCATCATAATAACGAGCAAACTAAAAGGTGGAATCATTCCAATCAATCCATCAGTTACCTTTAACAAACTGAGACTATTCGATGAGAGTTAAACAAATAAAACTACATTCTTTTACATCTTTTTATCTCTAGTTATTCCATTCCAACCTCAACATGTTTAATTGATTGATAGATTAAGTTAATAGGATGAACCAAGAATTAAACCACTTTGATAATAATGGTGATCACGACCATGCACAGTTACAACCAGATATTAAGAAGTTTCAACTACCTACTTCCAAATGGGGCTTTGTGCCCCATTGCTTGGAACCCAGCTCTAATGTTCCATCAACTATTCAAATCAATCGATATTTTATTGTAGGGTACTGGACACCTACCATCACAATTCTAATGTTGTTCCATCAACAAGTTGACGATTTGACTGAGTTCGTGTGACCCCATCTATTCAAAGGGGTAAACTATTGATGATGATGAGTAAGGTAGTGTACATCAGCTGGAGAAAGGTGGTATCCAAGGACTTCCCGCACTACAACATCATTGTGCCCGCCCCATTTGATCATCATTCCAGCAAGCCATCCTGAACAGACAGGTCAACAGTTGGGTGGTAATGGTATTCAAAAAAATTATCTTCAAGCCACCAATTGACGACCAAAGATCAAGGATGGGGGAACAAAGTTACATAACTTGATCATTCCTCACTCTCCATTATCTAAACATCCTCAGTTTAAGCGAGAACAGAGTGCTGTAGCGACTACAACCACCCAATGCAAAGATGGGATGGATGGTCATGGACTCAGAGTTTTGTTTTTTTTCAGGACTCGGCCCAAGCCCCCCTCAGCCCGACAAAGGCAACTTCATTCAGCTCCAAAAGATACTTTAGGTAATGGGTGGGTTTAGAGAAGGAGCATTGTTGGGGTTGCGCGGATACCATTCAACATACCTCCCTCCTCCTTGATGATATTATTTGTGATGGATGCGAATGATTAGCACCGCAAAGGGGACCTCAAAATGCATCAGAATTGAATGAGAGAAGGCAAGACTAGGTCCACGCTCCGATATCTTTATAAAGAGGAGCAACAATTCAATTTAACATTCAATCAATCAATCAACCAATCAAACAATAGTAATATATTGTTAGTTATAAATATGTATAGACTTGTAACTATTGCATGCATGGCACTGATGTGCGTTGCAATTGCCAACGCTCAGTCTGCCTCTTATGGATTCCAAGTGCCATACGCTGGAGGCCACACCATCACAATCACCAACACTGGTGGCTCTAACCTCGTCATGGCTACAATGCTGATGGAGTCCAACGTTGTGTTCTCAGGCACACCATACGGCTCGCTCTGGAACAACGATGCCACCTACACCTACAAGTCCTCGGGCAACGGTGTCACCTACCTCTACACCATCACCTGGGGCACCGACGGCTTTGAGCTCGGTCCAGGCCAATCCGCTGACATGACCTACACCGTTGGCAACACCGGTGGTCCTTTGGGCGCACTCGGAATGAACCCCAACTACGTCCAGATCATCCCAAAGGGTGCCTCGGGTCCAATCACCCTCCCCATCCAGGGTGCCTGCAAGGGTTCAGCCTGCAACAACCCATCGCCAAACTACCGTATCGTCGGTTACTACACCGATTGGGACATGTACGAGCGTCAGTACCTGCCATCGAACCTGCCAATCAACAAGATCAACGAGGTCAACTACGCCTTCTTGAACTTTGATCTCCAGGGTAACTTGCAGCTCTATGACACCAACTCTGACCCACAGCAGCTGCCACGTCTCTCTGTCCTCAAGCAGCAGTACCCATACTTGAAGTTGTACCTCTCGATCGGAGGCTGGACTCTGTCCAACGACTTCTCCACCGTCGCCGCCTCTGCCTCGGCCACCAAGAACTTTGCCACTCAATGCGCCAACTCCCTCATCCAGACTGGCTTTGATGGTATTGACATTGATTGGGAGTACCCAGTAGTCCGTGAGGGATCCAACGCCGACGCTGTCGACTTCCCCAACTTCATGACTGCCATCCGTCAGGCCCTCGATGCCGCCGCCGCCGAGCAATCCGAGCGTCTGGGAACCACCGTCCAGTACTACCTGTCATTCGCCGCCACCGGAGGTGTCGACAAGATTGAGGCCGTCTCCAACCTGAACCCCAACGCCTGGACCCAGGTCAAGGAGGCTGTCGACTACGCCAACGTCATGACCTACGACTTCCACGGTGCCTTTGACCAACCGGGCCCCTCTGACTTCTTGGCCGCCTTGGACATCACCCCACAGGACCCATACTACAACAACGCCACACTCGGCAAGTACGACACTGTCGATGCCATGAACGCCTGGCTCAAGGTCGGCTTTGAGAAGTCACAGCTCGCCATCGGTGTGCCATTGTACGGCCGCAGTGTCACCGTTGCCCAGATGGGCGACACCAACGGACTCTGGCAACCAATCACCGGCTGCCCAACTGGTGAGTTCGATGACACTGGACTGTTCGACTACCGTTGCATCATCAACAACGAGTGCTACGGCACAAGCTTGCCCGCCGACACCATCATCATCCAGGCTGCCAACAACCCCAACGCCAACTACTCCCAGGAGCCAATCGGATACAGTGCCCAGAGCAACTTCTTCATCTCGTTCGACGATGCTCAGACCGCCGTCGCCAAGGCCAAATACGTCGTGGCTCAAGGCTTTGGTGGTGTCATGATGTGGACCTTCTCTGGAGATGTCGCCATCAACAACCCCAACTCAATCATCAACGCTCTCTACACCACCCTCAACGCCTAAAGAACCTGCGAGACCTAACTGCTCTCCCATGTCCAAACAACCTACATCCTAACAATAAACCATCTTGTAACTTATTACATAACCAACTTGAGTACTACTTCCTCAACCCTTGCCCTAACGTTGTTGTGTTTAGAAGTTATTTATTACGGACCAGGGTAACATTAACTTAGGCAGGAGGTATACTAGCTAAGCTTTTGTTACTCTCGCTGGACTGTTGTGAATAGTGTAGCAGGTTCCTCTTGCTTCTGTTTTGTTGTTGTGAAGAAGTGAGGGAGAGTGATTGTGCGCTGCTGTGCTCTGGCATTCCAACACTCGATTGTGTTACGTCAGAGTCAGCCAATTGACCAGGTGTAGCAGTAGCCATCTCAATGCCGTCGACAGCATTGTTATTCTTTGTTGTTGTTGATGCTTGTTCAGTGTCATCTCCAACCACTTCCTTTGCCAGCAGGTCACTGACTGTCTCAGAGGTAAGCATGTCCTGCACATAGTAGCGTACCAAGAAGCGGAGTCGTTGTGTCTTCTCACGCACCAACGAGTAGAGTGCAATGACATTGATGAAGATCACAAAGAAGAGTATGTAGTTGGTGTTGGCTGAGCGGTTCTTGTCAATGATGGACAGGGGCAGGATTGCACAACCAAATGGCAACAACACCAGCATGTATAGGAAGAACAACTGTGATACAGCCAATGACAGCACACGCATCACACCTCCAAAGTAGTACAGGGCTCCTTCTCTAGTTGGCATCAATGAGAACATGATACATTGTACGGCCACCAATATGATATAAGCCACAACAGAGTACATGTCAGCTCGATATGGATGGGTCTTGCGCAGGATTGAGAAGTAGAGCGTGGCCAGCGTGGTAGGGAGCACAACGACGAATCGTAGGATGAGGAATATGTACAGTTTGTCTGGGCTGCTAAAGATGTAGTCCTGCATGGCGTAGAAGATGGTTGTGGCGCAAGAGGCCAATACCATGCCCAACTCGATCACTGACTCGGACGAGTAGAACTCGATGAAGCGACGCTCCATCTCGCGATCATTGAAGCGCAATGAGATGCGACTTGAGCATCCGCGGTAGAACTTGTGGATGACCTGGTAGGTTTTGTGAGCGGGCAGTGCCGGGAACGATTGGACAATCTCGACAAACAACGATCGGTTACTGATCTCGAATAGACGTGCTCCAAATCCAGATGATATGAGGTAGAACAAGTATGATCCACCCATTGACAAGAACACATCGATGAACGGTCTAAAATCCTTTGCTAGTCTGATGGCCACCAATGCCACAATACCAATTGCGCCAGTCAAAGTTGATCGCCAGAATTTGGCAGTTGGAATCGAGTAATTGAGCCACAAGAACATCTGGTATGATGGTTCATAGAGTGGGAACTATGTATGATTGATTGATTGATTGATCGAGTTAGTGAATGAATGAGTGATTGATTGATGGCACTGGATACATACTGGGTCCTTATATATTAATCTTGGTATATTGTTGGTTAGAAGTAATATTTGAAGGTAGACACATTCAGAGTATGAGATGGCCAGTGGAAATGGTATTAGGATGAATACCAAGACGACTGTTACACCTAGTTGGAATGTATAATGGAAGTCGCGTCCAAACACATAATTGCCCTCCTTCATATAATTCAACACTGATGTCAATATCTGAAGTATCAAAGCTGCCACAACCAATATCCTTATATTATAATGTGATACCAAGTTGAAATATCTCTCAAACTCGCCCTCTATTAAAATGTTGGATATCCTGGTTAGATGTCAAGTGCTGGATTGATTGATTGTATGTATATACATACCAGTGATCAACTCATCCAATACTGGATCACTTGAGTCTATGGAGTGAGGCGAGGTGTGAGACTGGAGTTGTAGAGTCTTCCTGGCATTGTTGGCTGATTGTGCTGTGGAACATCTGATTACACATGAATCTTGTCGTGGTTGTTGTGCACCAAGCTCATCGTCATCGATATGGTTGTTGTGATTGCGTTGTTTGAATACCAAAGTGACTGGATTGATCCTTCCTTTTATGGACTGTGGAAACCTTGGAACCACTCTCTGGTACACAGATAGCAATTGTTCATTCTTCTTTACAAACTTTGGTATTGGTATTTGGTAATTGTCACTGGCATGCAATGTACTATCCTTGTCCTTGTCCTTGTTCTTTTGATTGATCACATTGTCGTCGGTTGTCTCTGTTGTTGCTGGTGTTTGTGTATCTGGTGTTGGGATGGGTGCTTCACTACCAGCGGCTGATAGTGATCCGCTGATGTTGAAATATATGTTGACAGGCTTGAGTAGTGGATCACCATCAGGTGATGCACTCATATCAACTGTTAAACTATTCCTATTCTCCATTATATTATTGTTATTATTGTTATTGTTGATAGCGGATGATGAAGTTGAATCCAACTCATGCTCTGTCACTTCCTTATTGAGTACCATTGTAGTGATACATCAACAAATAAAGTAAGTAAAGGGGAAGATTGTATCAAAGAATAATGACTGATGATTCGATAAACGAAACATTCTCAACATAGTTGAGGCACCATCATTGCAAGCATCAAGTTGTTGCTTTCAGATCGATCAGTAGAGGCTCATGAACTATTAATAAACTTAACATTTGCTCAACAGATGATAATCACATGTTTGGCTGTTCGTTTTCTAACCACTCACTTATTCAATGGCAGACAATGGACCGTGCCCATTCACACCTGGATGTGAGTGATCACACACGTTTTATTCACTGTTTTTGGCCGTTGATTGGGGGTCAAAAGGTAGGCTCACTAGTTTCTGCGCCCACAAACATCCAACACCATTTCCTTGATCATGACATATGTGCGAATGTGTCACATCGTGGCATCGAGCCGTACTGAGTGTTGTTACGCGAATTGGATTGGAACGGGTTGTGATCATCTGATTGGCTTATACCAAACGCGTGTGCGTGTGCGTGTGTCCGTGGACATGTGAGGTCGTTTGTTTGAATGAACGATGCATCGTGTTGCATTATTACGCGCACCCATGGCTACACCATGCCACCACTTGTATTACTACTGCTACTGCTGCTGCTGCTACTGTTCCTTTGTTGTTGTTGTGCTTGTTATTGTGCCTGCTGTTGCTGGGCATTGGTATAATGTAACAGATTGATCTTGACACCTCTCCTACTGACACTGTCATTGACACCGTGGCCTTGTCCTTGTGCACCCTCTTCATCCACGCGCTGTGGTGAGGTCGAAGGTAGATCACTCGAGATTGTAACCATCTCCACGCCACCTCCATCATCACCATCATTGAATGTTGGCTCGATCAGATGCAGCTTGTCGACACTTGGTTCTTGTTCGGTAACATGGCGCACCTCTGTATCCAACTCCTTGGCCAGCTCAGGCGTCAGGATGTCTCGTGAGTAATGACGGATGAGGTAGCGGACACGTTGATTCTTCTCGCGTAGCAATGAGTAGCAGGCAATGATCACAGTGAAGATGATAAAGAACAGGATGTAGTTGGTGTTGGCTGTGCCCTTGCCAACCATCGCCAGTGGCAAGATGGCAAAGCTGACTGGCAGCAGCACCAGCAGGTACAGGAAGAACAGTTGTGACGATGCCAGTGTGACTACACGCATCACACCGCCAAAGTAGTACAGACTGCCATCACGTGTAGACGTCTGAGTGAACATTGCGCACTGCACTCCAATCAGCACGGTGAACGCAATGAATGACAAGAGGTCGGCGCGATATGGATGTGTGCGTCGCATGACTGAGAGGTAGAGCATCGACAGTGTGACGGGCACCATTATAATGAAGCGTAGCAGTAGGAAGATGAACAGTGTGCCAGGCTTGCTGTAAAGGTAGTCCTGCATAGTGTAGAAGATTGTTGTGGCTGTGGTGGCCAACACCACGCCCACCTCAATGATCGACTCGGACGAGTAGAACTGGATGAAACCACGCTCCATCTCACGATCCTTGAATCGCTGTGTGAGGAAGTTGGTGGCTCGCTTGTAGAACTTGTCAAAGTGATCGTAGGTCTTCTGGGCGGGCATGTGTGGACACACTCGCACCAGCTCTGCAAACAGTGCACGGTTTGTAATCTCGTTGAGACGTGCACCAAAGCCTGCCGCGACCAAGTAGAACATGTATGATCCACCCTGTGAGAAGATGACGTGCAGCACACTTGGTGGATAGGCATTGATGATTCGAATGATGACCAATGCAAACACTCCAATTGTTCCAGTGATGCATGCTCTCCAGAACTTGGCCGTTGGTACAGAGAAGTTGACCCAAAGATAAATTTGATATGATGGTTCATATGGAGGGAACTAAGTTGGATAATATATTAACATGTTAATATTTATATGGAATCTGATCATGTGATCAGTAAATTGATCACGTGACACTATTATCTGATCACGTGATTTTCCGGAAATTGGGAGTACTTACAACATCGATATAGAATATTCTGGATATATTATTGGTTAATAATAGTATTTGTAGGTAGACTACTTCGACATATGATGCAAGAGCTGGCAATGGAATGATTATCAATGCACAGACAATGGTAACAACCAACTCTGTTGTATATAATGCATCCCTCCTCAACAAGTATCCACCTTCCTTCATATAATTGAACACTGACATCAATATCTGTAGTACAACTGCAAATGACATCAACACCTTGATCTTGGTCTTACATATCAGATTGAAGTATCTTTCAAACTCGCCCTCTAATTGGAATGGAAGTGAATGGTGAGTATGAGTGGACATGGACACATTCCAATCAATCAAATATGTTACATACCTGTGATCAACTCATCCAAAACTGGATCAGATGAGGAAACGGGTTGGAATTGACCTCTGGTCTTGGGTGATTCGAGACGTGCTAGAGCAAGTTGATCACGGACTTTCTTGGCTGATGACCTGGTTGAGTAGCGACGAAGGCATCCTGCACATCCTTGGCACTGTCCATCACGTGATCCATCACATTGATGTTGTTGCTGTTGTAGTTTACTCCTCTTTTTGAATACCAAAGTGACTGGATTGATCCTGTCCTTGAGTGCACTTGGGAACTTTGGTACGAACTTCTCGTAGTACTCATTCAGTCGCTCGTTGTCCTTGATAAACTTGGGAACTGGTATCTGGAATACATTGCTATTGTGCATGTACGTGTCCACCATTCCACTGCTACTGAGTGTCCTGCTCGTGTGAAGATCCATCGCACTGCCATTGCCATTCTGTTGTTGTTGCTGTGGTTTGTAATCCAAATAATCTGACTCCTTGTTGCGACTGATGTTCAAAGTTGATTGATCCAAAGTAGCACCATATTTTTGTGGTGGAGTAGCCTCTATTATGACTGGGAGTTCTTGCTGCTCCTGTTGATCAGCGTCGACAACGATGTTATCTTTAGAGCTTTGATGTGAGTTGTCCATTTATCTTTTAAGGACTGGGAATAATCACAATCTACATCTACACCTCAAGGTTAATCAATAATAATACATGACGAATGTGAGTAACTTACAAGTTGGTGAGGTGGAGTGATGGTTGAGCGAAAGACATCATCAGCAACAACATCAACGTCCAAACTTTTTGTAATGGCGATGTGGGGACGTGATGACCTTTGATAACCATGCGATCATTAAACTACGAGGTGGGTACTTTCGCTCTGGTCGCCCTCGCCCCATCCAAGTAAGAAGTGGTACATGGTGTTAATGTGTTTGTGTGAATGATCACAATAATCATCGTTTAGACTGTGGAGATCTTTTTGATCACAAGCCTGATGAGTGAGATACATCGTTAATCGGCCTCAAGTTGCCTATTTTTATCCATTTGGCACCCATCAAAACAGACACACACATAGAGGTACAAGGTTATAAGTATGTATGGCTGCGGTCATGTCCTTTGCAGTACTGATCAGTATTCTCCAGCACTAAAGTGATCACTTTTGCAACCTGAAGTGTATGGTTATTCATGCTGGACAATGGTCCGGCAAATATAAACACAAATACCTTCAATGCCATCGATGTATGTTGGGGACTTCTTTGGACAAATGGATGGATGGACAACGTCCAAATCTGATTTTTCAGATCCTTTCCGGGTCAATAAATTTCTATTTGTTTTTGATCACTGTGCAGTATTTAGCCGATAACCATTTGATCACATCATCAATCCCAACATTTTTGTTCATCTTCAAGCACAAGCACAAACAGTTGAAGTTGTACTTTCATTCAACACCTCATTGTCAATCATCATTGTTGTCAATCATTCATTCTCTCTTTATCTCACACATTCATTCAATCAAACAAACAAACTTGTACATTTACATTTATATATTGTATATATATATATATAATAGATAGTAGAGGGAGGGAATATATAAACACTTGTTGTTATTGTAAATAGAAATATATATTAAGTCATGCAAGTGTCTAAACAGTACTCTTCATTAAGATTACAGGTTGAAGTTTATGGAACATTCAGATTCTTAACCTGTGTATCAAATCCCTCTCTATCAATTCAATCATTGTATACACGTATGTATATCTCATCACATCATGTCATGTCAAGTAATGTCAGTTTCTAACACAACAACAACAACAACAACAACAATAATATAACAGAGATCGAAGATGAAGTACGCGCCAACTATATGGTGCAGTTTAAGGTGTTGGCTATAAGGGACATCAACCATGAAACATTACCTGTACATTCAATGATTGGCGAACGTCTGAAGAATATGGATCAGATCTACGCCTTTGTAACATTTAAGTCGACACAAGAAGTTCAACAACAACAACAAATGCAACAACAACAACAGGCACAAGAACAGCCACCTCAATATCATCATCATCAACAACAACAATTATATCAACAACAACAACTACAGCACAAACAACAACAACAACAACATCATATGCCACAGATTGTACAACCTTATGCATCGACTACTATACTCTTGTAAATAATTAATTAATCCGACCATTATATATATATAGACACAAATATAACAACATGTAAATCATTATAACAAATATAAATATAAATAATAATCAAATATATAGCATAGCCAACAACTACAACAACTACAACATGTAATAACTCAATGACACACACTGAGGCCCTCTTGAAGAGGCCTTAACGAACGACTCTACCGAATAGACATCACTAAATAAAGCACATAAGGAACTGGTTTTGGTTGATCAATCAATCATTCCAATCATATCATCTGTACATGTAATATAGTTATATTTGTTATTTAGAATTAGTTATGGTATTGGTGTCAAAGACAAGCAGCGTTGCATCCGACCTGAACAAGTCGTTAAAGATCAAGACTGATTCACTCAAGAGACTCGAGAAGGACTATATCTACTATCAAAAAGAGTTGGAGGAGCAGAAGAATAGAGTCGAACTATGTAAGAAGGATCCAACAAAGGATGAATACGATCTAAAGAAACAAGTATGTATACATGTAGTCGTCGTCGTAGTGGTCCTAGTTGTTGTTGTGAGCTGACATCAATGTTAATAGGTAGAGATATTGGATGAGAACAATGCAATGATAGTAGACACTGTCAAACGATTGACAGACTCTTTAACAGTACTAGCTGAGTTCCTTGTAAGTAGCATACTACCTTTGAAGTGATGTCATCAACTATCTATCTAACAGTCGACTGTAACACACACTCAACAGGAGGAACAAGCTGAGAAGAAAGACTCTCTGGATCAATATAATGAGGCGATGGAGTTGATGGAGAGATTGTACCAACAGTTTATCAATGAATGATTGATTGTATGATTAAATGAATGAACGATTGCATGTACACCTCTTTGGATTGGTCTAAGCCTACTACCAATACTGCTATGGGAGTAGGAGTTTATTGCATTATAACGATGATGACCTTGATGATCAATCTTACTTCTTCTTGCTACCACCCTTTCCTTTGCCCTTGTTCTTGATAGCATCGACTCTCTTCTTGGCGCGCAGCTCCTTCTTCATTCTCTTGTCGACCACCTTGTACTTGCCAGACGTGCCACCGCCAGTCTTGAACTTCTTGCTGATCACAGTGATCTTTTGTTGACGTGAGTTGCCGGCCTTCTCTGATCCCTTGTACAGCTTCTCGATGGCGCGCATCTTCTCGCGGTTGGACATCTCCTCGTTGTCGACCACATTGTTGGCCTTGTCCTTGAGCTTGTCCATGCGCTTGGCCAATCTGTACTTCTTCCTGGCCTTGGCCTCGGCAATCTTCTTGATTGGACGTGAGTCAATCTCACGGATGTTACGCTTGATCTCTTCAACCATCTCCTTGGTGATTGGTGTCTGTGGCTTGTTGTGGCGTCCCTCATCCTCCTCGAACCATGTGGGTAGGTTATCGTCGTTGAATGCGTAACGGTTGTAGGCGTCGTCGATCATGTCCTGCTTCATCTTCTTTCGCAGCATCAGTGTGCCCAGTGCCAGGGTCTTGATCTTGCTGTCCTCTCCCTCCTCGTCGGAAGACTCGTACTCGACTGCATCCGCCTCCATTGGCACCACCTCGAAATCCTCCTCCTTCTTCTTGGTCGCATCATCGTCCTCGTCCTCATCATCGCTGAGCTTGCCACCTGGCGCTGCCTGGTACTTTCCAGTCTTCTCCTTCTTCTTCTTTGGCAAGGCCACTGGTGCCCTTGTGTCCTTGGTGAGCTTCTGCAGTTTGATTGGACGGTCCATCTCGTCGTCGTCTTGCTCCTGGGCCTCAGGCTCCTCGCCGTCCTGATCGACGCCCTCAAAGAGATCCTGGTCGAACCATCTTGAGGTGGTCTTCTCGGCGGACATCTTTCTCTTTCCAAATACAAGTGAATGTGACTCGTCGGCCAGCTTGTCTTCCAGGTCGTCGTCCTCATTCTCGTCGTAGGCCTCCTCTTGCTCGTCGTCGGCATTGTCTACGGTTTGGCCGGCCTGCTCCATACTCAGCAGCTTGTCCTTGGACAGACGCTCGATGCCTACCTCGCCAGACTTGCCCTTGGTCTTCTTTAAATACTGCATGTACTGCTGCTCGAGCTGCATCTCCATATACTCATCGTTGTCCATCTCTGCCTCCTCGTTGTTGTCGTACTCTTCGTCGTCGTCGTCGGACAGACCATCCTGCTCGAGCTCCTCGGGGTCGATGTTGGCGTCGGTGTCGACCTCGATATGATGATCACGTGTGCGCTGCAGATTGAACAGGTTGTTGTCGTCGACCTGGTCGATGGTGTCGCCTGGGATGGTCATGTTCATCTCAATCCTGCGCTGCAGGTTCCTCTTCTTCTCATTCTGCTTCTTCTTCTCCTTTCTCTTGCGCTTCTCCATCTTCTCGACGTTCTCCTCCATCAGTTTGTCCAGGTTCTCATCGAGTTCCTCTTGGGTCAGCAGACGGTTGGCTGACTCGCCATCCTCATTGGCGCCCTCAGCGGCGGCGCCGCGCTTGGGGTTGTCCAGGTGCTCCTTGTAGAGGGCCATCTCCTTCTTCCACTTGATCAGACTCTTAAAGTCGTGCTTGCCCAGCACCTTGAGATCGCGCATGCACGACTTGATCTCGGGTGTGGTGGCGGGATGGTCGAGGTAGATCTTGCTCTCGACGTCAAACTCGAGCTGGTTGTACGTGGCCAGCATCTTGAGATGCTCGTTGCCCTCGACAAACTCCTTGACTGTGCCGGTCTTGTGCAGCATGGTGAGGCCGTCCTCGTAACCCTGTCTGTTTCTCTTGGCCTTCTTCTCGGACAGCACGTCCACCTTCTTGACCTCCTGGATCTCCTTGAAGACGTACTTTGGATCGAGCAGCTTTGGGTCGATCCTCTTTGGTGCCAAGAAGCCCTGACACACGACAAAGATCTCTGCCGAGGCGTTTCTCGATGCCTGTGGCTTGGTGCTCTCCACCTTCTTGAACAGCTGATGCATCACCCACAACAATGAGTTGTAGTCGGCACCACGGAACACCTTGGTGACGAACCAACCACCTGGTGTGAGGAACTCTGTAGCCAACTTCAATGCATGCAAAGTCAGCTCAGACTGTTGATAAGCGTCCTGGATCCAAGAGGTACCCATATTAGGTGCACCATCGTGAAGGCAACTATAGTATGATTGAGTTAGTTAGTGAGTGAGGTTGAGTCGGTGAGGCGAGTGGGATGTCACTTACATGTCGACCTTCCATGTTTTCAATGTCTTCTTAATCTCTGTACGACACTTCTGAGTAGTGATATCCTCTTGTAGACCAACACAGTTCCTGATTGGACGGATTGGATCGAGATCAACACCAACAATCAATGATTGTACTGGCATATACTTTGATGCGACTTGCATCCTAAATTGAATGATTGATCGAATGAATCGTAATGTTAATATAAATGAATGATTGATTGATTGATTGAATGAGTGTAATATCGATAACATACCATCCACCTGGTGCAGCACATAGATCTAGACAAGCCTTGGCAGAGCCGAGGAAGTTGTACTTCTTGTTGAGTTGGATCAGCTTGAATGCGGCACGAGACCTGTAGCCTTGCTCTTTGGCCAAGTAGTAAAACTTGTCCAAACGTCCCTTGGCCAACTTCTTTTTCTTTTGTCCCATTGTTTATGTATGTGTATGTATATGTATATGTATATATATCTGTATTAATAAATATTATATTAGTAGGTAGTGATGTTTGTTTGAAAGATGAACAAAATAAACGACACTTTCTCACACACCTCGCTCGCTTCGTCTCCTTGTCGACTTCTACTATTAATTTGATTTTTTTTTAATTAAATTGAACGGAATTGAGTGAATGACAAAAGATTCATTGTTATGATTGAAAGAAATACATGTACAAACAAAGATATATAATACGTATATATATGATATGATCTAATTAATAGTCTTCTGGCCACACCCATGATAGTCCAAGCCTCTTGAAGGCATCTTGACAGAATTGTTTGGAGCAGTAGTTGTTGGCATGCACTAATGTTTTGTGAACGTTGTTACGTAGGTCAATGGCTAGACGCACTGCCCATACCATCGGTGAGTCACCTGGTGTTTGTAGATGTTGTGTTATACCTGCATCACGTACATTGTGATGATGTGTCAACCTTGTACCATATACTGGATTACATCGTTCAGCTTCAACATTATATAACTGTCCTCTAATAGTTTGTTCATCAGAGTGTCCATTGATGTCAATAAGCAATTCATAATGATGTTGGTCTTTGTCTTGATCTTGATTATTATGATGATGATGTCTTATATGTAATAATGTAGATATAGTAACATGTTTGATTATATAGACACGACCTATATTGTTAGGTGCAGTTGGTGGCTGTTCAAATAGATCTATCTCTGTGTCTAATTGGAACTCTGTATTATAACTATTAATACTATTAACAAATGCATCCTTTGGTGAGTTCATCCTATTGATCTATCTATCTGTCAGTCTATCTATTCAAGAATACTTAGGATTGAACACTCGTACCCTTACTTAACCCTAACCCTTACCCTTGCCCTAACCCTTACCCTCGCCCCAACCCTAACTTTGCATCACTTTCAAACATTGACAAGGTGGACTGACGGACTTGTGGCATTATTAAAGATGGCAACAAATAATTGTAGTAATTATAAGTCAACGATTATACATTCAGTGTTACGTAGCTCTACACTTATAAAGATTCTCAATCGTGTTAGTTTGATACATCAACAATTTGTTAAATTAGCACCTACTCGACCAGCGATCAAAGGAAGAGACTTACTTTACAAAGGCAATCTCATCCAGATGTTACGACACAATGCAACTCAATACTTTATAGAACATTACAACAGAGTGTCTATTGACTATCCGTCCAATGACAACTTACTCCTGTTTGCAATTTGGAACAACAATGAAGTGGCATTCAAACATCTCATCAACAACCACTACAAATTATCCGCGTTCACCAACTTGCAAAACCGAGACAAGTCGTGCAGATCGATCGACCATTTGTGCGAAGTAACGTTAATAAAAACTTAATCCAAACAGCGGCGGATCTACCATATGGAAGAGGAATCCGCATTTTTTATTAAGTTTTTAAATCACCTGGGTTGGTCTGGCGGCCGTTCAAACATCATGAGGCTCCAGACCACCCAAGTGATCATATTATAACATACTCAGTTGTAAATAGTTAGTTAGTTGTGATAAATGACAAAGCCGAGTGCGCAACTAGCGTCAGTCACTGCGTCACCTCCCTCCATTGCTAGACATAATTGTCAGCATGGTGAATGTAGCAACAACGGTGGCCAGGGGTTCTTGACCAAGAATGCTCGAGATGCTCATTCATCGCAGACCAAACACCTCTGTACCGACAGAGGAGTTGAGTGCAAGATATGTCGGAAGAAGATGGCCAAACAACAGCGACAGCAAAGCGCCGCTGCGGCGGCGACCAGCGAGCAAAGCTCCATGTCGAGCGCATTGAGTGATATCACAAGCTTCATCTGTGATCAATACGCCAATGGAAATAGAGGGGAGCGCGTCAATGACCAACATCGAGACCGTAGGTGAATCCACTGTGAATGAGGTGTCAACCACGTCGACAAGCCATGGCGCTGGAACGACCAGCACGACAACGACCAGGACAACCAGGAGGCCAACAGCCAGGCGCCCAACCACAACCAGGAGCATGGCCAGTACGGCATYGACCAGTAGCAGGCGAGACGACAATTCTGATGTTGATGATGATGACCAAGATGATCCACCGTCTCCACATACACAGGATCGTCTTGCAGCAATGATTTGGCACATTGCCAAGGTGATTGGTGTATGTCTGTCTGGTGATATCAATGAGACCAGGGATACGCTGCTACGAAAGATAAAGGATATGGTCAATGATGAGAGAGGCATTGAAGGTGTTGAGCCTCTGACAGATGACGTAGCAATCGCTGTGTTTGAATGCATCCAAGAGCCAAACGAGAAGCATAGCCCAGTTGTTCAACTGGCCAAAGTTCTCCACAATGCGTTCGATGGCATTCAGTTGGAGGGCTCAATGTCACGGCATGTCGCCAGACAAGTTGCCCAGTTAATCCATGATGAGCTCCAATCGATTGACCAAAGCATCTGGCTTGCCCACTGGCAGAAGTTGTGCTCCCACATTGGCTGTAGTTCTCGCGTACGCAAGAAGGACTTCAGTCGCCATGTGTGCGTTCCTCATCACACCGACGAGGATGATACGTTGCCCGACAAGTGTCCTGGGTGTCAGTACTCATTGAAGAAGGAGTACGATACCGAAGTGAGGGCCAACAGAGATGCTGGAACGTTTAGACTTGACCAGGTCAATATCGTTGCCCTGGCGTTGATGCGTTACGTCCTAGGCATCACCGACAACAAATGGGAGTATGTCCTAAAGTCTGCAAACTTGAACCTGAAGGACTTCTCTCTCCAAAAGATGAAGAGCATATCTAAGGAGCTTGAGGCAAAGATAGATGTGACAATGCTAAAGACCGACTCCATCAATGTTGCTGGTGCTGTTCCTACACATTTTGCCTACTACGATATCTATCAGCTATTTGAGGATGCAATCAAGGCAGAGGWGCCAGAAGATGAAGATGGTAAGTATCATTACTATAGACATGACAGCACAAGTGACTGACCAATACCACCGATCGACATACGTATTCAATAGTGATCACCAAKATTGATGTTGATGGTGCCATTATGTTCAAGGAGGACACTCTTGAGCGCAGCAAGAAGCAAGAGAGTGGCACAATGCAGTTGGTGTACGACTCTAAGAAGACCTCTACCTTGAAGTCTCCATACAATGTGTATCAATTCCTTGTCGCCAWTGGGGAAGAGACATACTCAAACTTGTCAAGTTGGTTCAGCCAGAGCAAGTTCCACGATCATTTGTCTGCGCTAAACAATCTAAAGACCTATGTAAGTGACATCGAGAAATAGTATATATATATATATATGTTTATCTACCTGTATGTTTATATGTTATATA